AAAATAGGTGTTAAGATGTTAAAACACCGAACTGAAGCCTTTTACGAGGAATGATGTCTGCATTAACCACAATGCCTGTGGTCAGAATGCAAACAAAAAACGTACTCTGATATTATATGGATTGCCTTTGAAACTAATTGGTCCACACCAGAGGCAGCTTTCTTTCACGGTCTTTTTTCTTCTGATTTGGTATGTGAGTACATGTTGAGCCATAGTACTTAATTATGCTTTGTAAACATCAATCATGGAAATGAGGAAACACGGCATGGACTCTATAACGTAGAAACACGTCAGGCGTGGAGAGTCAAACTGCTGCATCCTAACAAAACGGGAGGGCGTGGTAATGATTTACAATGGAACAGGACGTCTACATATTAAAGATGGATACAGCATATAACTTTCAGGTACATTTTACTGGCGTGAAAATAAATAAATGAATAAATAAACGCCTAAATAATGTTGTGGTGCAGGGCAGGATCGTGCACAGGGGCAGTCGGCTCAAGCAGCCTCACGAGCTTCTGCAAATGTGATGACGCTTCGCTCGGGAGCGGTGAGTGATGTGAACAAAAAATATATATATCAGCCCAACTGCCGAGCTCTCGTGCCAATGTGGAAAAACTCCGTTCGTGAATCATGTTCGCCAATATTTACGATTCAATACTTCTCAGTTTTTTACGCAGAAAAAAATCCCACGCAAGTCAGATGTCCCATTTGTGCCGTGGTCACGTCAGGACCACTGTAGTGGCCTCCAGTCTAACTGAAAGTCAGATTATAGTAACGGTTGTCCTTAAACAAACACTAAATTCATTCACCTCGTCCGTACATTTCAATTATAAGCAATACCGTGAGTGGCTTGTTTTTGTTTTTGGCACAGCATATCAAAGCACAGCACAGTACAGTGTTTAGAAGAGCAAGTGGAATTGGGCAGGACACGTCCCTCAGTATGCATGGTGAGTGATGGTCAACTATAATAATAACGAAGTGGCAGCCAATGAATCACGCAGGTCCACGAGAACGTCCACCGAGGAAAATATAACGATGAGATCAGCTCGTGTGCAGGTGCTGGGGTGGAATGTTACATCGCCGGATCGTGAGAGGTGGCGGCAGCTTAGGAAGGCCTTCATCCAGCAGCGGATTGACCACGGCTGTTGCTGCCGATGGATGATTTCTGGTAAGGGAAAACTATTTAATGTCATTTGACTTTTGGTATGGCTTGCGAAATAATCCCGTCTCACTGCAATGCCACTAAGTACGGTGCCAGTGGTAATGCAATGGTTTGTTCTCACACTAGTTCCCGTTCTTTCTTTGCTTTACAATTCCTCTCCGCATGAAAACGCCTACAGTTTATTGACTCATGCCAGTGTGCATATCGCTGGGGATGTCTTAAATAGTGGGTGAAATAAGCCTTTTATAAGAACAAAGTCTATTCAAATGCCACTGAAACCGACTAGTCTTGGTATTTATTCTATACTCAGACATCCTGTGTATATTTTTTTTCTCACGATTGTGTAATCCTAACAAACTGACAAGTAAAAATTGACAGATGTATGACAGTTACGTGGCAAAACATTTGATATTGGCAGAAAATCCAGTAGCTTTGCTCGATGCCAGCAGCAAGCCGGCATGTGGCCTGGCTCCTATACAACTCATCATTACCGTTGCAAAGGATTCCTGCCAAAAGCTGGGCCTCTAAAGGAGAATTTTGGCTGCGTTTTATGAACCGGGAAAGGAAAATGTGGCTCCAAGCATGATGGAGTTATTTTGTGCATGAATACACCGGAGTCGCCAGGGACACAGATGGTCGATGCGCACACAACGACAGTGCTGATAGCTGATTTTCTAAGAAGAAAAAATATATCACGGAACATCAAAGACAAAGAATGGTAGTTCCCTTCAGTATTCGACAGACGTGGGTTTGTAAATTATTTTATAACAAAACATTAGCCCTGCCATTGGCCAAGGCCCAGGACTGTACCACTCTGATGAGGACCCACATGAGGGTGAAATTAATGTCCCTGGATAATGTATTTTTCGATACAAAGTGAAATTGCAGTTCTTGCTCTTGATTTACTTATTTTTCCTCAGGCAATCTGGCTAAGGGAAGTTTACTACAAAGCACGGGAGTTGTTTTCCAACACAAATTGCCACCGCTTACTACATGGTGACTATGCATCCATGACTGACAGGCCAATGCATAGCGGTGCAGTCCTTTGAATGTTTTAGTATATACTCCTCCCAGAAAAAGAAACTTTATTTTTCAAATGAAAACAACACAATCTAGATTTGAAGTTTTCGTGACTGCAGGGATCCATACTCTTGGTTCTTTCGGTAAAGTCACGTAGGTATAAAATAAAATTAATTAAATCACGTTTCGGGCGCAACACTTCAGCAATTCATATTCTTAGTTTTTTTCGGTAAAGTCACGTTGAAGGGAAACAACAATATAATAAAATATATTTTTTTATTGTTTTATATATTTTTTATATATTTTATTATTTTGTTGTTTCCCTTCAACGTGACTTTACCGAAAAAACTAAGAATATGAATTACTGCAGTCACGAAAGCTTTAAATCCAAACTTCAGCAATTGTTTCTTGCTGTGGTTGTTTCCACCTGATGACGGGCACTTGTGTTGCGCCCGAAACGTCGTGATTTAATTTATTTTATTTTATACCTACGTGACTTTGCCAAAAGAACTAAACTAAAGAGTATAATAAAAACAACACACTTTGAAATAATAATAAAAGCCATGCAATGTTTAATTCAACACCCATTTGCATATCAAAATTAAACCTCAAAACACAGGGGAATCATATGCTCGCCTTGCATACACTTTGCAAAGGCGAAACCCAAAATAGTTATCCACGTGTGCATGAGGTCGTTAGGACAATTGCACAGTCCCAAGTATGAAATTTGCTAATTTATGTCAATGTTTGTTTGGAAGTAGCTTCTAGGAAGGGAGGGATCCTTGTTTAATATGATATATTATGAACTGCAAAGAGACAGAGCTAGCCTGTTCATATGTCTTCTCAAAATACACTCAACGGAATGTGTAAAAAATCTCACCTGCACTGCGTTATTTCTCTAAGGTCTTGACACACTTATGGTTCCATACATTTTTTTATGTTAACATTTTCTTTTATCACTTTGACGCCAGGTGTTTATATCATCACCGTCACTGGAAATTACACAGCATCATAGGATTTCGTTTTAGTTTTTTTCTCACCAAAAACAGCACCAACATCCACGTCCAAGCTCACACGAGCACGTAACTACGACCATATTTCAGGTTGGTGTGTAACGCACGTCTCGCGATATAATTAGATTTAAGAAAGCAAATCCAGTCAATATATCGGGAATTGTGAGTGTCTTATACTGCAACTGAGCCACACAGCACAACTACGAAAAACGAAATGCAGTCATAGCCTCCAGACTACGTTGAGGTTACATCCTTGAACAGGAGAAAACGTATAATGTAGCACTCGAGACACGTAACCAGAGGCATATTAATCCAATATAATATCAGCTGGCTGCGCAAATAAGTCAGCTTCATAACGCTATGTGTGTGCCTGGGTTTGCCCATACGAACTGATAATTGTTATATATTTGATCTGACATTATTTTTTATAGAACAAATGTAGATATGTAACATTACAGTATTGAGTCATGTTAGTTTTACATGTACAGTATGTAAACATATATTGTTACCCTGCATACACGACATCCACTACGCGTGCATGCTATACACACCTGTCCGCATGCATACATGTGTTGCTGGCATGAATTCCTTGGCGATCAAAGGGGTTTCCTGTCCGAGTGGGAGGAAGGGATGAAGCTATGGCTCTGTAATTACTCCTGCTGAAGTACCGATGAGGAAGAGGGCCTGCTGTTTTTAATGTGACACAGAGCACAAGGGACCAACAACGCGAGCGAATCACCTAAAGCACAACGTGCAATGTAATCACTGAAACACACGCAGGCCACCTTGTACTTTAAATGTTCATATCCCATAAGTGCGCATTACGAACCCAAGTCCTTAAATACCGTTTTTTTGCGTGAAGAAAACCCAGGCGTTATAAAGAGTACAGTATTTACAAATTATATCAATTCTTGAAAATAGGTTTTCCCTTTTTTCTGGCAACAAAATAGGTGTGAAGATGTTAAAACACCAAACTGAAACCTTTTACAAGGAATCATGTCTGCATTAACCACAATACTTGTGGTCAGAATGCAAACAAAAAACTTACTCTGCTAATTTATGCATTGTCTTTGAAACTGATTGGTCCACACCAGAGACAGCTTTCTTTCGAGCCTCGTCTCAATCGCCTTTTGGCGTCCTCTGGTACTGGCAAAGGAGGTCCCATGATGAAAATCTATTCTTGGTATGCCACTACAAAGCAGAGGACATGTTGCCTTGGCATTTGTTGTGATTGCTGGAGAGAAAAAATACTGGCAATTGTTTTGCAAAGGGATAGAGGATGCTTATTTATGCCTTAATTTACCATAGGTGCATTGGGCACTGAACCGAGACAGTCCCATAACGAGATCAAGCTTTCAAAACGGCTCTTCAAATTGAGCGTGGTATTTGTACCTTAATTTTAACATCAGCAGCAGTGTTGTGGAGCTTACAGGTTAAATAGAAAAATACAATTAAGCATGTTTACCGAACTTGGCAAGCATGAATGATACCAGTTATCTTGCTCTTCTTACAACTTCATATTATTCTCATTCGTAAGCTATCTTTAAAATGGACTCAATAAAAAAGTTTTGCTAAAAGGTAACTGATCCATCGTTAAAAACATGTCATCTAGTCACGTGACAATGCATGTTTAATATCCCTAAGCAGCCGCCGCATTTATAATATAATAAAATGCATAGTCCATTGCCCAAGTTATTAATATTACGCATATAGATTGCTGTCGATGGATTAACCGCTTCGGTTTGAAGCAATTCCGGAGCAATGCGTAATGCGCAAAAAAATGTGTTACTATTACATGCAACAATTTTTCATATATTTTATTGAGCACGAGATTAGTTACTGAAACACACAGGCGAATGATAAGCTGTGCACCATTACAATGTGTGATCTGCCATAACATATGGCTATACAAAGACTCAAAATACAGCACTTAACGGATCAACAGCAAAGTATGTACACGGCTGCATGTAGAAAGAATCCACATCAGAGTATAAAAGGGGAGAATTAAAATTCACGAGTGCATAACAGGGGAAAATAAAAATCCACGAGTGCATGCAACGTATCCCGCGTTTGTAACAATCAAGGGGTCAGCACCGACGTGACTTTCGAAGGCTTGAGCTCTGCTGGAGACGGAGTCTGTGTCCTACACGTGGGACATTTTTTCTATTTACCGAGGGTTCACAAGGACCAGAGTATTGCATGTCATCCGTCAACATACACCTACAATATGGTGAATATGTTTTTTTTGAACACATTTTACATGAACAAAAACGTAAAACTACATCCGTGGAATTCAACAACCACCCTTTTGTGAGGGACACTACTATGTAACCGGTTGGATGAACACTACTTCATGAACACGTATGCTTTCAAAACTAATATTATCCATTCATGAAACGTTCCAAAAGAGGGTTTTTTTGGGGCGAGAGCACGTAAATTTACACGATCTAACCCAAACAAAAACTATTTTACGGACTGCTTCGTGAATAGCGAAAGCACGGTTACAACAAAAGCACGACACTGGGATGCTAGGAAGAGCACCAATATTATTGGACAGGTCGAGCTGCTCTTTTAACCACAACGACAGTCTGCAGATAACATTTTAACAAGACCTATAATTTTGAAAACGTAACTATACGGCTGCGAGAATAACACTGAATCACCAATCCTGCATTGCAATAGCATGCATCATAGTAGGAACATTAAGATGCATTTTTTTTTTTAGACGGTAAACTTAATTCGGGCACAAAACAGGAGAGGAGAAAACCAGTATAATTGGCCAGATACGAGGCACTCCAAAGTTATCTCCTCATAAACTTACGTGTATATATGTAATCATGAAACAAAAACGAAATATTTCTTGTAAATAATAAATCATCACAAACTGCCAAAAATCTAATTTCTTACATTACCTGCTCTTAAATTTCCAACTTTGGGTATAATTATCCAGCATCTCAGGGAACCTTTGATCGTGAACAAAAATACGATTTAGGTTGACAAAAGATAAAACAATTCTGTATTCAAATAACAGGTTGTTTTGAGTTAGCTGATCTCAAGATTTGTTTTTAAAAAAGGTCATGCAACCATGCAAAAGTTGTATACACAAAATAATTGGCACCACGTGTAAAGACAACATAATACAATTATGATATTGATGTTTACTCATATTTTGATGTTTTATTCATCAATACTAAATTATAAAGTTCCACCCCTGTCTTGCTTTCCCATTAATGTGGCCCTAGTGTGATACAGATCCACAATATTTTGGTTGCTGTAAGAGTGAAAGGTATTCAATAAATAAATCTAAATAAAAAGACCACTTTGGTTTTTGTACCTTATTGAAGCACAACTTATTTACACAGAACATATCAAAGACACGAGAACATTTTTGATCCGATATAGAGAAAATGTAAATTTAAAAAATCTCTTCGAAAATGAAATGCTGCTGCTGCTGATGAATTTGACACCGTGAAATTAATGGCTGGAACACCACAGCAGGTAATTTAACGCTAACGGCTGCCACCAAGCAACTTGACCAAGCTGTGAATGTTTTACAACCAAGAGGTGGAGAATTACTTATCTTGCATACATGTATTTTCATGGTGAAATTCTCTGCATTTATAATAACACAGAAAAAGATCAAATGTCAGTTGCAACTAGGGAAAAACAGATCGCTTCACTATTTATCAGCCGATGGTTATTTTGTCTCGTCCCTTGATGCAACCTTGTGCAAGAAAATAAAAAAAAAACTTTCACACGACCGTTTTTACAGATGTAACAAACCTAAATAACACATTCTGATTAAAGTAAAACATGGTAAATGGCATTCAAATATATTAGCAGCAATGAATTAAAATGTATTATTTAATACACAAACTATTTTACCATGGTTTGAGATTTACAATATTTGCATATTTCTGAGATTATGAAAGTTTTAGAGTTTCAATGATAGTATGTATAATGTGTGTATTCCAAGTTTTGCACATGATTTAAGAGAAATGTTTGAATGACCTGTCCAAGGGTTTCTAAATCAAAACCATAAGAATTGAACCGAACCATCCACCATCGTGTTTGAATAAAAATGCAATACATACATTTGCAACAGTGGTGTTAACGTTCATTCGAATCAGAAGTTACTACTGACCAGTACAGAATGTTAGAAGGAAATCTGACTCAAAACGACTGATGCATGAATGTTAAACGCAGATCAATTGTCCATCACCTTGCTTGACCTCACACCAGTACATCTGGACTCCAAACAAAGTTGCTCTAAAGTTGGTGCTTACAGAACAGAGGAGGTATAACAACCAGGGTTTAAGTGACCTATCGAACACATGTGATTGCTTGCATACCAACTTGCATCCCTGCAACAGGGATTAGAAGCCCACAATTTTCCTCCACATACAGCTACACGACTACACGATACAACTACACGACATTAACCATACCGAACTTACTTTACATCATCAAATGCCCTCGAATGTTGTGCATTTTACAGCGGCAAAAGCAGACGTCGCTGCAAACACGATATGTACAAAAGTCAGTGAATGACAATGCAACCGTTGGTGGTTGTTAGAAACCTGCAGCAGATAGCTGGGCACAAAGTACATAACCGTTCGGCCAAAGTTAGGCGACTGGAGTGAGACCCCAACTCTCTCACGTGGGTTTACGCTTTAGTGCTGTGCAACTATAAGCATTGACCCGGGATCGTCTGGCCTCAAGTTCAAGTTGTGAGCCTATATATGTATTTGCCTATTTATGGTGGTTTCAGTTCCAAAGTTGTGAAAACGGTTTCTCTGCAAACACCAGGGGGTAACTGCATGTTATTTTTCACACGCGACGTTGAACCGAGTTGTATCTGTGAATACCGGGTGAGACCCCCGACCGGTGCATTCCGTTTGTAAATCTACAGAACATAGAGACACATTTCACCACAAACCTCCAAATGTCGTTGCACTGCACCACAAATCTCCAAATGTTTCACTTCCCCACAAGTGTTGTGCGCGGGTGCAAAAATGTCACCCACTTAAGTTGATAAATAAGTAAATAAGTATGTAAATAAATAATAATTGCCCCCGGCTCTCGTTTTGCATGACTAATTTAATGAGAATAACAAGAATTTAATTATAGTGGCAGTCACAGACAGATGCCAAATTTGGCTGTAAATGCAAGTGTTGCTTGGAAATGTGCTACCTGCTTTTCCCAACTTTTCCCGACGTTGAAAGAAAGCAAAGATAATGCAAAGAGGCAGCGGTGTACCCTACCCTTACTGCCTCTGAGGTTATAAAGAACAGAGCTCTCTCGTGCGAACAGACACGGTACCAGGTGGAGCATCGACTCGGCCCCAGTGCGGGGAGAACCACGTCAAAACAGAGACCAAGGAGAATTATTTATCTTCCCCACGGAGGGCTGCAATCAAACCAAAAATACGGGGAATGATAAATAGCACATGAGCCACTGGGCAATCTATAATATTGCATATTCCCTCAAGAAAAAATATTAATTACTAAATTTTGAATCATGTAATTGGACTTTAAAAAGTGTTCTCGTTGCATGTTGCATAGACGATCTAATACACCATTTGTTACCATGCATGTGTTTTTTTAATATTTACCATCACCCAACTTTGCGGTTTTGATAACATGAATGCATACAAAGTGCAGTAATATGTGAGTTTTTGGTTGTCGACATAAAAAGTTGACTCAAGAACATTCAATGTAAAATTCGTTACGGACTCTAAGCATAACACAAATAAGGTCAGGTCAAGTAATGTAAGGAAAGTGGTTTCAAGAGCTGTCATTTAGCCTTCTGCAAGCATCCTCATAAAAAAATGAGCAGATGCGCACGAGCCTTTTGCCACGGGCGGCAGTAATGAACTGATGCTCATGACGGTTTGAGTGAAAACGCTTTACAAGGAGTGCTACAGCTGCACTAAGCATTCCATTCCTTTCTCACAGCACATTTCCAGCATTAGCACAGCCAACGGAAACCTCCTATGAGAATTCAGGAGCAGATAAAAAAAAATGGACAAATATTACTTCATATTTCCACATAAAGAGACTGCATGGCGCAACAGAGGCTCAAGTGAGTGAACGGTGTGCGTAAAAGTTGGACCAAAATTGTAAATACAACACGTGTGTGTCTGCAAAGAGCTCAATTTAATCTTGATAAAAGTATTGATCGCCTGCCAAAATCGCACAACTTTAAATTGTTTTCCATGTCTGGTGCTCGGCAGGTAACGCTTGCACTACAATTATTCGATTGCTTTCATCCCACTGCAAGGGCTACAGTCACGAATGACGTGTGCCTGCTCCATAAATTAGGGCGCACCCTCATATGGTGTTGATTTGTACGCAGCTGCCTGGGGCTTTGAACATTTGGGCAGCTGGCGAGATGAGGACACCATGCAAAATAAAGAATCCTTACTGAGACATACGAGTACCCTGGGCTAGCGTGCAGCATGCACAAAGTGCTATTGACCAAAAGTATTCCATTTCAACTAAATGTAAAGGATGAATCATAGTCATCGTAAACTTGCCTTGCCATCGAGTGATGTGCAAGGAATGGCAAATGCACTATTGGTGCAATTATTGTGTGTTCATGTGGATCCGTTTCATCCAAGCCTGTAGGTTCTTATTAATTTGAATATTTTAATGAGCATTAACCTGCGTATGATTTAAAGGCTTCAGTGACTTCCGCTATCTCCCTTAATTTGGACATTTTCTATGAAGATATGCCTCTCATTTGTATGCTTTGCTCAGCATACACAACCACGTTATTTCATGTTCAGTGAAGCATGAACAAAAAATAATTTGATCCTACTTCCCTTCATTTGGTTTGTAAATATGTTTTGGCAGGAAGACGGTGATGTATTTTTTACTTTATATTTCTGAGATGCTTACAGCCTCCATGTACAGTATATTATGGCAATTAAAGCAAAAATGAAACCATTTTTTCACCTGTCAAAGTTTCCTCAATGACTTAAAACGTACCATTTATGTCTTGGAAATGTGCCCCATTGCTTTACAGATTTGGTTTTGAGTGCCGAGTTCTGAGGGCCGCTTGTCTGATGCACATTATTTGCATTTGCTTCAAGTGGCATCTGTTTTAAAATGTCTCAGATACACTAACCTCTTTTAGTGAGATTCAGTTGTCGTTAGCGCATGTCTCTATACATGACAGCACTATGCTCCTTTTAGTGCATTCTCCAGAGGCACGAGATGGGATTTTAAAGCACTGTCATGTACAGCTCTCGGGCCCACACTCTGCGCATGTTGCCAAATATTTTTTCAAGTACAGTATCTCATTCCAATTAATGCTTGTAGATGTGAAGAACATTTTACTATGGAAATAATTGTAATGATCATAATGTGGCCTCGTCTTTCTTGTTCATGCTCTGTAATAAGCTACCTTTGTGGCTTAGTGTCAGTTGTATTTACTTTGTCCCAACACCATTATTGTGCATCCTATTTTTTCGACGATGCAATCAATAACATGAGTATATTTCAATTATATGAGTTAGCAAAATATATTAGAATTTTACAATTAACCTGAAACTGTATTTTTTTTTACATTACCCTGTTAGTACACATTTCTTGCTTTTACTGATGTTCTGGACACATAAAAAAAAATTACAATCATTTCCTTAATAAAATATAAACTTACGAACCAAGCAACATTTACCAATTTTTAGAAATAAACCTCGGCTGCGGATTTCTTTATGGAGCAAGACAGCAGCCACCAACCCCCACCCCCAGCACTGCAGAGTGAGCGAGGGGTCGTGACCCCACCGCGCCTCTAACAGCACTCCCTGCGACCGGTGAGCACGTGTGGTGGCCGGTTCTCGTCACTATCGTCTGGCGCAGCAGCAGCGGCGGCGGCGGCAACGGCGGCATCGTCGTCTCCGCCTTCCTGCTCGTCCAGGCTCTCGGCGCTGTAGTCGATCTCCTCGGCGAAGCGCGGCTCATCCTCCAGCGAGAAGAACCTGCTCACCAGCATGCACAGAGACACGGAACCACCACCACCACCACCGCCAACCCCCATGTGGCCGTTAACAAAAACTCAATGCACAACCATTAATTACAATGCTTGAAATAGATTTTTGTGTATATATGTAATAGGAAACGATTAAAGCAATGGTCCTTCTTCACAGAAAAGTAAGGCTTCGAGAGGAACCCACTCACTCCTGCACACACACATATACCCTGCGTAGCCTTTTAAGAGACTGTTGAGGCAAGTGCGGTTAGCATGCAAGTATGAAGCCCGGCACAGCACGTGAGGAGGTGGTGTAGCCAACACCATGCCAGGCCGCCTTTGTCTCCACAGTGTTTATGCTCTACGTGTCATGCCAGGGACTCGTTTAAGGCTGCGTCGACCTGGAGGCGGCCCAAGATCAATCCAGATATCACTTGCCACTCATGTTAATGCGTGAATAGGATTTTAACCCAGGCAGCCAGATTTGTAGTGCGGTGCAATAAAACCACTGCTCCCACATGCACCCAAACATGTATACACACACACACATGCACAACACAGATGCATGTACGGGATTGTTTAGACACCGTAACAATCCACACAACCTTGTAGCTCATGCTTTTATATGAGAAGATAGGGTTAATGTTGGGAACTGGTCATCACCACCATTTGTTTTTTTGTGATTCACAACACAGGTCTCAATGCTCAAACTCTAAACGGCACGTGCAGGTGCTTTGAACTGGTGACGCCATTATTTATATAAGACAGCAGGTTTAAATCTGCCATGAGTAATTGTCCAACATCAGGAGTGCCAGGGTGGCCAGGAGGTTATAGCTTTCACCACTGATCCAGTTTGCACGCAATCGACAGTTTGATTCCTGCAGATGCCCAGGAATGTCTGTGAGAAATTACCAGAGCTTGCCATCGGCTATGCTTTGGACATTTAAAAAAAAGTGTCATTACTCGAGTGAATATGAAATGGTGTGCCACCGTCAAAGCCTACTTATATTATAGAATTACCCACAAATAAAATGCAGAATATTAACAACTGCTTCCTAAGTAACTGCTCTTAGTCAGCTCTGTCTCATACGCTTTGGTTTTTTCGGTAAAGTCATGACTTGTAATCATGACTTGCAAATAAGTCATGATTTTCAATGGGTTATCATCTAATATACAGAGAGATAATGATCATAAATGTATTATTTGTTTTAAATATAGCGCCAATTACGCAGGGGCATCTCAGGTGCCCTGCACATTACATCTCATCGCAATACACTTGAATGAGCACCCCCAGTGGTGGCTGTGGCTGTGGGCACAAGGTACAGTGAGGGAAAAAAGTATTTGATCCCCTGCTGATTTTGTACGTTTGCCCACTGACAAAGAAATGATCAGTCGATAATTTTAATGGTAGGTTTATTTGAACAGTGAGAGACAGAATAACAACAACAAAATCCAGAAAAACGCATGTCAAAAATGTTTTAAATTGATTTGCATTTTAATGAGGGAAATAAGTATTTGACCCCCTCTCAATCAGAAAGATTTCTGGCTCCCAGGTGTATTTTATACAGGTAACGAGCTGAGATTAGGAGCACACTCTTAAAGGGAGTGCTCCTAATCTCGGCTTGTTACCTGTATAAAAGACACCTGTCCACAGAAGCAAACAATCAATCATATTCCAAACTCTCCACCATGGCCAAGACCAAAGAGCTCTCCAAGGATGTCAGGGACAAGATTGTAGACCTACACAAGGCTGGAATGGGCTAAAAGACCATTGCTAAGCAGCTTGGTGAGAAGGTGACAACAGTTGGTGCGATTATTCGCAAATGGAAGAAACACAAAAGAACTGTCAATCTCCCTCGGCCTGGGGCTCCATGCTAGATCACACCTCGTGGAGTTGCAATGATCATGAGAACGGTGAGGAATCAGCCCAGAACTACACGGGAGGATCTTGTCAATGATCCCAAGGCAGCTGGGACCATAGTCACCAAGAATGCCAATGAACATCTGAATGATTCAGAGGACAACTGGGTGAAAATGTTGTGGTCAGATGAGACCAAAATGGAACTCTTTCGCATCAACTCAACTCGCCGTGTTTCGAGGAGGAGGAATGCTGCCTATGACCCCAAAAACACCATCCCCACCGTCAAACATGGAGGTGGAAACATTATGCTTTGGGGGTGTTTTTTCTGCTAAGGGGACAGGACAACTTCACCGCATCAAAGGGACGATGGACGGGGCCATGTACCGTTAAATCTTGGGTGAGAACCTCCTTCCTTCAGCCAGGGCATTGAAAATGGGTCGTGGATGGGTATTCCAGCATGACAATGACCCAAAACACAGGGCCAAGGCAACAAAGGAGTGGCTCAAGAAGAAGCACATTAAGGTCCTGGAGTGGCCTAGCCAGTCTCCAGACCTTAATCCCATAGAAAATCTGTGGAGGGAGCTGAAGGTTCGATTTGCCAAACGTCAGCCTCGAAACCTTAATGACTTGGAGAAGATCTGCAAAGAGGAGTGGGACAAAATCCCTCCTGAGATGTGTGCAAACCTGGTGGCCAACTACAAGAAACGTCTGACCTCTGTGATTGCCAACAAGGGTTTTGCCACCAAGTACTAAGTCATGTTTTGCAGAGGGGTCAAATACTTATTTCCCTCATTAAAATGCAAATCAATTTATAACATTTTTGACATGCGTTTTTCTGGATTTTGTTGTTGTTATTCTGTCTCTCACTGTTCAAATAAACTTACCATTAAAATTAAAGACTGAGCATTTCTTTGTCAGTGGGCAAACGTACAAAATCAGCAGGTGATCAAATACTTTTTTCCCTCACTGTAGCTTAGCACCTGGCCGGCAAACGGGCATTAGTCTGCCAGTAGGGGCCTGTGATTGCGGTGTAATCCCAAGTGAGTGATGTCAAGTGTTTATGTGCAACTTGTTTCAATGGGTGCCCTGCCCCCGCAATAACGACCTCATTATTATTTGCCATGAATAAGTGGGGGTGATGTTATGCTGTATGCTCTCAACAATACAAGTAGCAAAAAGAAAAATACATTCAGCAAGCGTGTCACGGTGCCCTTGAGAAGAAGTATATTCCCTGAGTGTGACTGCAACCAGGCTACATTAATGAGGAATTCCGAAATCCTTCAAGCCAACAAATGAATGACAAGGACTTCATCAAAGAAATTGCCACAAAAGGGATAGTACATTTTGATGGGGTCCGATAGAGGTGGAACAAATATTGAATCATCGATTACTATAGACTCAGAAGCTTACGAAACATGCATCAAACTGCGTGTGTAAGAATCAACATTAATGTTTGCATGTTATGGACTTCACACTAATCCTGCGGCCAACAAACGCGTGAGCATTCACCGCAATGTTTAAACTAGGATTGATCCTTGAATCGAATTGCGACAAGTCACTAAACCACTAGGTGAATCCTTTACACCCAAGACAATCCCTTATCATGATGGCTCCATTTATAAATAATCTCACAACTCTCCACCCGAGTCACTGCACTTCAAGCGTGTATAAAAAAACACATATAAGCCACGATCGCAGAAACATCTCTGAAATCACATCGCATTTTCCAAAGCAATTTGATTTGACATATAAACTGAACATCACTCTAAAATGTTGCTAGTCCCCCCCATAAAACATTGTCAGCAGAAATTAACGCATTCTGACCCCGGTGGACCGGGGGCGTGTGGCTCACCGTGAGGGCTTGTACACAGTCTCGATGGTGTCGGGGTCAGGTCCGGCCCAGGCCCCACGTTGGGGCAGCAGCAAACTCTCAGCCGGTGCGAGAGAGCTCTTGAGACGAAGCAGAGCCACGCAGAACTTGGCTCCCATCTCTTCCAGCTCCTGGGAACCCATCTGGCTTCCCTGGCACCATTCACGCACGCACGCCCGCCCGCCCGCCCTGTTATGAACCAAGACTTTACTCGGGATTAGGTTTTGGACTTGGTTGCGTTAAAGTGTTAGCAATTATCATTGCTGTTGGATTTTTTTTGCTGCTGCTTCTTCTTCTTCTTTATTTTGCCCCCTCTTCACCCTCCCTTTTTTGTAGCTAAGTGATTTGTTGCTCAGGATGCCTTTTAAACACTTTAATTACTGAAACTTATTTTTTCTCTTACACTGAAAAAACAACAAGGAGAGGACGTATTCCAAGCCGTTGTTGATTTCACTTGAACATTTCCCAGGGCCTAAGCAGTGCATGGAGTAATTTGACCTCTTTTTACACACCAGAAATTAAATTTCTATCCCTGCAAGCTCTCTGGCAACTGTTTCCAATTATAAACACCATGTCAAGTTTAAAGCGATATTTCCCAATTGTCCTGCTTACAAACATGTGTTCGCCCAACATACAATTGTGGTTTATTTTTACATAGCAGTCCAATATACACAACATTGGTATGAAGCAATTTAATCTGTGACATGACATTATTAATTCCGCATTGTCATCAATGGGATTAAACATAGTGTTACAACTGCAATGTCATGCCAATGACTATCTTGCCATACCTATGTGTTGCACATTGAATATGTACTATGAAGACAATCCATCAGGGCTTCATGCCATTGGTCACTATAGATACCAAACAATACATTGGTTGTACATGATGGCCACATATTTAAAATAACAGGTTTTCAAACCACCAAACCAACAGATTTGTATCATGCCATAGGAATCGGAAGGAACAAGGTCAGCTAAATAATAATATTTGGAAATTGTCTCTTTTTTCATCAGTCTCACTTTTGACGATTGGGATAATAATAGGCGTATATAGTCAAATGAAGGGAAAAATAGGTCAAAGTGGTCATTGCAATTGTGTTTTTTTGCACATAAATGCATAATTGAAGTGAACAAAAATACCATATCTCTATGGAACTGAATTCCAGGTACCACCAATGTGATCCCTCCCTGGCACGCACAGGTACCTTGTAGATGCCCTGGTCACAGCCACAATAGGTGCTCTCCATTGTGTAGCTACGCAGCACACCGATGTCCCTCCACACCACGACCCGCGCCGTGGATGCCTTGGACTTCTCCACCACGAAGTTACAGCTGCTCAGGCAGAACGCGGGCGCAATCTGGTGCAGGATCCTCGGCAAGGTCTGTACATGCAACGGGAATAGCAGTTTTGGTGGCGGTGATGGTGGCACACCATCATTAAGGCTCTCAGAGAACCCTCTTGACAGCACTGCAATTTGCATCGTCCCACACTTAATGTCATGTGGCGACGTGGCATCCATACTCTATTAACCCCGATAAGTTATACAGTTGAGCCACTCAGCCACTAAGACGAGTCACGCAGAAATGTAGCAAAAGCATGACCCCAACGCCAATCTCATGATGAACGAGTGGCAATGCTGACCGTGATCAAGTTGCTTTTTGCACGAAAGTCAGTGTCATCATTTTTTTTTTAAATTTCCAGACTGTGCACAATACGTCCATCATTGTTAAATGGCATGTGTGGGGTGATAAAGAGCATGGGTATTTCAAGTCAGCTTTAATTCTGGTAATAGCCAATTCCATTTAATGTAATGTAGTTTGAAAACCCACCACACATTATAAGCAGATTCGACTCTATGGCAATTTATATATTTCCACTTTCTTGAAATAAAATTGATTTTTTTTATGGTAGTTCGACTGCTGTTCACATGTAAAGCATACAAAACAGACTGGCAAAAATCCCAAAGTAAACAATGACAATGCAACATTATTGACGAATAAAGTTTTTCAAATTGTTAGCTTTTATGTTAGCAAGAATAAAAGCAGCAACTTATCTTTAAACAATTATATTTAGTAGATATTTTGACCGGTGGACATGCATAAACCTTATAAGAAAATAATAATTATATAATATCTGCGCTAGACTGAGAGGATTCAGATAGCAGATGTATAAATAGTAAAAGTACACACAAGCTAAACCTCAATTTGCATTATAAAGACAACACTCCAGATATGTATTTTACCAAATCACTTCGCACACCATTATTGATAAGTGCAACACAAAACAGGGTGCCACAAAACAGGGTGCCGTGCATATAGAAAAGAAGGATGTTTGTTTAGGATGCATTGTTTGGATATTATTTCTCTAAACAATAAGAAAACGCTGACACGACAACAAGGAATAGCTTTTAAATGTGCATGGTGAACCAAATTAGCTCAGTTTTTCTCTCGTGGATTTCAGTTGTGATTTAAGAAGTTGTTTATTTTGTAATCATTAAGAAGTCACCCAACAGAGCGTTGCAAACTGGCAATTCCCCACAGAAAAGTCAATCTGCTGAAACAACCTAAAACAGCAACTGGTGTAATGCCATTTAAATTGGCATTGAGGCAATGGAACAATCTTGACGTGAATTGCACCATGTGTTGTGTCGTTTCGCTTTGTTCAGGGGATTTCGGTTGGAAATCGGTAATTTCTACTTAACTATTACAATGTTACAACAATTAACAAATCTTAATTTTTGCCCATGTACATCTCATTGAATTACCTGCGTTAAGATTTGGTTTTACAAAACAATTCATTAACTGGCAATGTGATGACCAGACTAAAAACCATGCAGTGGCTGGTTTCCAACAAGTGTACATCCTAAGTGAGTATGGCAAGATATTTACCTACCTACTTTCACATCGCTAGGTACAGCACATAACGTATTTCAATAGGAATAATTTCAGAGCTCAACTGTGGACTGTTATATGCATGATTCTTTGGCCCTACACATGAAGGTAACTCGATGCAGTGGCTGTTGATGATAGTCATTGCCACACGGTCATTCACAATTCTTAGACATGACCCATAGATACTAGGCATTGCAGTCTATAATTATCCGGACCTCCAATTGACTAACATTTTAAATGTAACCATGAACCCGTGCATACCTTTGGTATTGAGAATAAAAGCAATAACTCTATGGAGCTATGTAATCAATTGTGCATGTATAATTTGACATGGCTCATTTATATATTTATTATTTATCTTACCTCATGCTCCTCAATGCCCTTTATCGTTTTTTTTTAATGTAGTCTAGTTAAGCACTGACATCTTGCCTAGGATAGATTTTATATTGTCGAGCTAATTTAATCATGAAAATCTCAGACATGTCCGTATAATTGTATCATGCATATGACTAGAATTATTTCTCTGCAGAGAAAATTACTTCATTGTATTAGACCGCAAGAAACTCTTCTGTCAACAATCCCTAACTAAAAGCACACACAATACTTGTACATACATACAAAGACATTCGATATGGTTACTATGCGGGATCTTAATGAATCCAAAATCCCACCCTGTTGCCGAATGCATCATTTGCACTCAACCTAGACACCACTGTGTGTGGTGCGCCTACCCTGTAGCTTAAATCCTCGTAGACAGAAGATGCTTTGGCCTCAGCAGCAGTTTGCCAGATGGTCTCCTTCATGCTGCAGCCATACAAGAAAACATTCTTCTTCCTCGAGTGGCCATGGTAGTCACAGTAAACCTGCCCAAGGGGTGTAAAACAACACATTATTCCACGTGAAATTACTCTTGAGCAAGCAAAGTGATACTCAGCTTGCCTGTGTTCAAACATGTACGTGGATATTCTGAATAAATGTCATTTTTATCTTCAGAAGAGTCAATGAGTCTCTCAAAAATTTCAGGAGATCCATGCATTATACAGAATGATGGGCCAATCTGTTTTAATGAGTACTTGAATGTGAGAGAAAACCAGAGTACCCAGAGAAAACCTACACGTAGGAGGGGATAACAGAGGTCCACACAAACAAATTTAAAACCAATTTTACACAGTCATCCCAGAATCAACTCACAGTTTTAAGAGTATAACACAATAAAATGTGATGCACCATCCTGGCCTTTGAAGTGCTGAATTACAGACATGTGTCACTACATCCAACAACACAGGAGCCTGTGTATGGCATGTAGGCTCACCCACCAGCTAAAAGAAGCTTTCTGAAGTGTTAACACTGGACTCGTACACAGTGTATCCATAATGTAAGGACGATGATAGTCTGATTATTTTTCCTATAAGCTGCTTTTATATAACAAAAAAAGTAAAGTTTACATAGTCAAGACAATGTTTTTATATAAACAATAATATGGATCACTGCTTTTATTTGTTAACTTTACTAAAAAAATAACTGAGTTATAGATGACAGACCCACTGAAACCTTTAAGAAAACAATTGCTTTTAAATACTCGGCTTTATAAACTATGTGCACATCAAACTTTATTTGGGTACATCTAACTGAGGTGTTGGTGTTTCCAGTGAAAGTATCACTGGAAAGTCAGTCCCCCGGTAACTTTCATGAGTCTGGCTACAACTACGGCAAAAATTTGGAGATGAAGTTTAAAACATCAGCAATCCTATTGCCAAACGATCCATTGCATTCCAAGTCTCATTAATCAAACCGCTAAATGCAATGCATGTTTGAGCCAAGAGTATAAAAGCAAAATCTTTCCAGGCAAGTTTTCCTTTCCTTTATGTAATAACTCCTTTTAATACACTTTTGACTTTCATTTATGTTTGAATGGCCGTTTTTTTAAATAAACATGACATTTTACACTCTCTAATTTAGCACGTGGTTTATGTAATACGTGTTGTGACTTTAAAATCTCAACAGGAACTGAACATTTGCTTTATTATTTTGCTGAAACTGCTCATGTGAATAATGCAAAATAATCCTGCATAATGAAACTTCCAAGTGTTTACTTGAAAGCCATTCAGCTCCGTCATCACAGATTTCACGAGACATCTGTTTCAACGACTTGCAAAGCTGCACTCTATGAAGATGGAAATCTAAATTATTAGTCACGCTCTCACGTGCCAATAATGGCATTCTATCCCTCAGTGCTAGTGCTAGGGTACCGGGAGTTCAATTCTCTGACTTAACTGACATTACATCCTGCCTATAAATGTATTGGGTTTGCATCTGCCGCCTTTGCATGCATTTGCCAAGACTGTGGAAACTCTACCCCAACTGTCAGACAGATAAACTTGAGCTTTTGATGAAATATTTCAGGTCTAAGCGAGAACGCTATATTGTATTGCCTTTCGTAAATGTTTATATATTCAGTCTATATATGACTTAAAAAATACATCTAATGCGTTCTGTAAACATAACGATTCGTACTTCCCTACATGGAATAATATTTGCTCATAAGACATGCGAAGTCTTCTTTAATACTCAGAACTTAGAACAGCCCCAGGCAACATACCATTAGAGAGAAAATAAATAACATTAAACCGCAAATCATGAAATAGCGCACGGTTTACATTTTACAAAGTGAACGTTTGTGTCGAAAATTGTGACCATTTGAACATTTAAACAACGGTCATAATTAAACAAGGATAGAAAATAAATAAATACATGGAGAATCGGCGGATTCATTTCATCCTCACCAGCGGAGTGTGGGCGATGCTAGCCAAGTACTGCAGGAGCCCTTTCGTGTGAAAGATGGTGGGATGCAGCTCGGGGTCTGGGCTGGACCACTGGCGATTGAGATCCTCTCCACCCAGAGAGCAGCGGTAGCTGAACAAACACAAACACAACCGCTGTCAACAGCGGGACTTCACACACACAACGGTGGAGCACCACTGTGGCGATTAAGCCGGCATCATAAACAAACTTGATCCCATTCACTCATGCAGAACCACGTTGTGATGCGTAATAACTCCTATGTAATGAAGGCCAGCGCATTGCACACCATGGACACATTGGTATAAAAAAAAATATAGCGGAGGAACAATTCAGCTCCCCCGCCTCCAACCACCCCAGTCCAGGCGATTCAAAGAATTGGCACGATTCAGGGTCACAATTTAATGCCATAACGAATTAAGATTTGATGTATTCAATGCAAGCTTATATAATTACGTGAATTGATACATTGATGCACCCCTACTAGCAATAATATTACGAATATTAAACATTTACAAAGCAAAACAACTATTTTTGAAAACTTTATATAAAATTATATTTCAGGACGTTAGTAAATTGAGATATGTGTTAAATACAGTAAATTCATGTGTAAACAGGACAAAATTAATATATGACTGCATGATGGCTTTCTCAAGAGCCTTTCTGGAATCACTTATATCAAGTGATATAGATGTCTGGAATATCTAAATAATAAAAATGTTTGTTTCGTTTTATATATCGGAGTTCATACAAATTGCATTTCACAGCGAGGAACCACAGGTATAAATTGAAGGCAGCCAGGCTGTGAGCTGGTGCCAACAATTATCCAAGCTCTGCAGTCCTCTATGTATTCAGATATTTTCAGCCAATTCATGAGTGTTGATACACGTGGAAGGAAACTGAAGCACCCGCAGAAAACCCACACGTGCGAGGGGGCAACACTCTATCCCATATAGAATGGACAGATGATATCAATCTTCACTTTGCTGTACCACTTTCTTCAAGCAAGTCAGGGTATGGATGGGCACCTCGATGTCCACGGGAAAGGATTTTACAACATTTGTGCAGTGATTCATTAACCCTCGCATGCACAGTGCTGGATTACAGGCATGCGCCACCACTGCTTGGCTTTGAGTTTAAATCGGAAATTAAATTAAATCTAAAACAATGCCTGCAATTCCAGAAACACAGATAGCAGTAATTTTTCAGCAACTACATTTATTATAACGCAATCCAATATAAATTCAAACAGCAGCATTTATTAACTATATAATGACAGGGTGCCATCTGTTGACCAGGAGGGGTAATCACGAGTATGGGTGCATTATATAATAATCAACTAGAAAGGGGGCGTAACTGGGTTAAAGGTAAAAGGTGGGGTCAGTCGGGAAGCTCTGGGAACCTGCCCTAAGGTTCTAGAAGGGGGCGTGGCCAGAGGCGGGGCCTGGCCAAGCCGGGAAGTATATAAGGGGTACGTGACCGAAGGTTCGGGGCTGTCGTGGGGTCTGGGTCCTGGCTGCCGTTGCTGTCATCTCTCTTCATCGTCCGGCCACGTGGCCGATCCTCTGCACGGCTACCATCGTCGTCGTTGCTATATTAGTCAGCCAGCTATATAGTTAAGACGCCGCCGATGGGGCTGTGCAAATGGGTCAGCTATGCGTAGCCGTGTATATATATGTCGCCCAGTGATTTTCCTGAAGTGTGAGAAATAAATAAGAAGCCCTCTACACGTTGTGTCTCGGAAGTCGCTCACAACTACATGACAATGAATACACCAGCGTGAATACGTCATTATGCTCTTCCAACAAGACTTAGATAAGCCGAAACTATGAAGGTTAAAAATACACTAAATACTGCAGATGGCCGAGTTCGCTGAAACATAATAAAGAAACCCCCGTCTTTTTATAATGTCACATGACATACAAAGTGTCTAAAAACAACACATTTTTTATCCTGCCATGAAAGATTAAAAGCAGTGTATGTAGAACATAGGACCCATGACATGGAATAGAATATATCACCGCAATCACACATCAGTACCAAGAAAAACACATCTGCTGGAGCACATCTCTAACATAAATACCAATTAAAAATTTCTCCCCACGGGTTGGCTTTTCTGCAGTGCTCCACCTACACCCTAGTGCTACTACAGTAAGGCAGGGCACATTCCATCCATAGAGGGATAGTGTCTCCCTCCATTAGTGGTATTTTGTCAATGAAGCTATTATTCTCCTGCAAGACACTTGCAACAACACCCTATGCGTGTCCCACTCTCTGCATAGCATTCCGACAGCCGTTAACCTGCATGAGCATTTTATTAAATTCCCCGTGATAGAGGCAGCCTTAATTTAGTGATAGTGGCATGGTGGTTCTTTGATAGACGCGTTAATGTAATCTATTTAATATTAACCCCTGTTAATATCATGGAACAAAACATTTCTTGCAGCACAATTGCAGTAGGCGAATGTTACATTTCACAAGTTTTTTTATCTCAATGTTTTTTAGTCTAGGAAGCCAACGTGCGGCCAACATAGTTCTACAAAAAATGGAGTAAAACGCACCCATGTGTGCGATTGCCACATAAGTGTGCTTTATGCAGAATCTCAGCGTTAAACCACATGATTTCAGCACAAGAGACCTCTTAGGGAAGTGTCCTGAATAGAGTTCTGGCAGAGGCTAGCATTACGAAAGAGGCGGCGTGCTGAGATGTCTGTGTTTCTCCATAAGGGTTTTTCATTGGCTGGAACAAATTCTACCCAAAGACTTTTTCTCCAGTACTGCCTTTTACATTTCCTGTTTAATTAAAGAGTGTTGCAGAGCTTGATTGGTTGCTTTCGTGACTGCAGGAATTACTCTTTGGTTTTTTTGTGACTTTACTGAAAAAACCAAAGAGTAGTGTTGCAGAGCTTGAAGTGAACGCTTAATTTGTTCACTGTGGTCACATAATGGCTTACTTGTGGATCTGTTACCACACGAAATAGGACAGGGTTCTCTTCGACAATAAGGGCTCCTTTGTTGTTGATTCGAACAGCTTACGGGTGTTGGTTTGTAAATTGCAATGTCTCAGAAGTGATTACGGATCCTATCTGGCTTCTGATGAATGTGAACTCTGTACAGGTGTGTAGTGTATTTGCAAAAAGCTATCATGTTTGAATCGCATGGTGTGTGCTTGTATATACATATATACACATCATGCAAGATATTGCAGATGGGTCCTGTTTTTTGTTCCTTCAGAAGGTACATGATATAACGAAAATCATATTGCACATGTCTCACAGGCAAGACAGTGAACAGTTTCGGTACAGGCAGAAGAGAGGGTAAATCAAGAAACTATAAACCCTGCCATTTCCCTGTACTCAGTAAGTAATATAAACTATCCTCTAACATATACACTGACGTTCAATGTCAAAGCACTTTTTTATTCACGCGACTTTGTACGTGACTAATGCTAATAGAAAGTCCAAAAATACAAAGCAAGCTGGTGAGCCATTTATTTAAGAAACTTCAGTTTTAATTCTTGAATTTAACAGTATGAAGGAATGTGCACCTGGGAATGCATAAACATACGCAGACTCAAAAGTACGTGTTTGGTGTGAATGCTTAAACCCACGTGTTCGAGCTTTAATGCTTGCGCTTAAGCCCACATGCACGCCTTCCAATGCAAGTACATATGTAGTGTAACAGCGCCGGCTGGTGGACAGCAGCGGCAACTGTGGTGGACAGATAGTGCTCACACCAGTGAGGGTGTGCACGGTGTGTTGGCAGAGGGGAGGAAATAGGGTAAGGATCACGGAGGACCCCAGCTGGATGCCCCTGGAACCTGCTTGCGGGTTCGAGAAGGGAGGCACTGTTGTCTCATCGCCGTAGTCGCTAAAACGTCTCCGCTAGATATTGCGCTAAGATTGATATTAGTTGGATATCTCAGTCAGCGCTGTCGGTGTTAGACGGCTAGTGTTATATACAGGCTAGGCTGAGCGACTGTGGAAAGTGTGCGGACGAGACCGTGAAAGTTGGTAATAAAGAAAGTGCCTCCTAAAAACTGTATCTTAATTGTTGCCACACACATATTTAGCGACATAGAATGAGTCACTGGAACGCATAGCGCTGGGGACTGTTAGAGAGTGGGATTATGAGTACCAGCCCGGTCTACCAGTGGGACACGTGGGCAAAGCCCGGAGCCTTCTGGGGGAATCCAGAAGGGGGCGTGGCCGAGGGCGGAGCCTGGCCACGCTGAGGAGGATAAAAGGCGAGCTCCGATTTACAGTCGGGGCTGCCGTGGTCTGGAGTGGAACTCGTCATGCTGCCGTCGTCATGGTCTTCGCCTCTTCAAGCTAAGGGTCAGGAAGCATGTCGGCTGTCTTGACCCGGTGTGTAGTTATCCCCTATGGCTGTGAAGGCCGGAATAAATGAGAGTGCCTCCTACTAGTGTCTCTGAATTAGCACACTACACGTACATACACACATAGATGCACTTTCCAATGCCTGTGTTTACACCAATGCAACTATGCGCACACATAGATGCACTTACATACAATAACACGTTAACACCTACATGCACTCACACAGGAGCATAACCCTCGTGCATGCCTTCTAGCGTACACGCGGAAGCCAACGATCCCCAAAAACTATACAGATCTCAATATTGGTATAGATCAAATGTGTGGTATGTTTCATGTTAATCAGCGTAGCCTCTTTTAGCTTTCCTGAAACATTCAAAATCATGGATGGACAAACAGATGGACATACAATGTTTCAGGCATAGCAATAAGCAGCAAATATTCTTCTCAAAATGTTGATACATTACATGTTAAAAGGATGGAGAAGCACATAATGTAAAACCCTGTTAAATCGTGAATAGATCTGTTGACCGAGTGGGAAATAAGACATGGTATATTAAGACTGTTTTCGATTGCTCTGAAATTATACCTTTTGTAGTCTGCACAATGCATGATCTTCACAAGATAATTAACTCCAATAGTGATGATGTCACAGCACACATACTTGTGTTTCTGAAGTCATAGTGTCTCGGACAGAAATGAATATGTTTTAAAAAGCAGAGTGTCCAACAAGAATCAATGACGATTAAAACAATACTATATATTATACATTCTGCTACCAAAAGCAACCTACGTTTATTTATATAATTGCAGAAAAGTAATTAAAATAATCGCTGTCACAGGTGAAAGGATTTTATCATGCACCTATCATTTGGTGATGCTGCACCGGCAGTGGTGCACAAGCACAAATAACAATAAACTTGACACCTTTGTCAATAAAACTACCATAAAAGGAACGACATTTCAGGAAACATCCCTTCTGAGCACGTAAACAGAGAGTCTACACCATGAGGCCCCTCTGGTATATAGAGCAGTCTCCAACTGACCTCTACTTATGCGCTATGACAAAGGGCCACTGCCTGAAACGCCACCCGTTATATATTCTAAAATGCATTGCACCACTTAGTACATCTCACCTCCCATTGATGACCCCGTCAGCGTTGAGCATGGGGACAATTTTGAAGATGTACGATTCGCGCAGGCTCTGGGCCAGGGGGTCATCACTCATGAGGAACTCCAGCGAGCCTTTCATCACCCAGCTGGAGTTGCTCTCGCCGGGATGCACCCGTGAGGTGAGGAAAATATACGGCCGATTCCCTTCGCAACGCACACACGCGCGCAGTCAGGCACATGCGCAAAATACATACGCGCGCACACATAGGGAGCATCGCAATGTACAACGTTCCATATTACCACAGCCTACATCGTTCTTTACGTGGGAAAACTACGACCACAAAAGAGTAACATATCTAAAAACAAGGTGATGTGTGGAAATTTCATGCCGGTGCAACTTTCTTCTATCATCCACACCATTCATTGTCATCTGAAGTGCTGCACTCCCAGTGGCGTGCGTGTACGCAAATTACCCTGTAAGCAGCAACAAGGGCACAGAGTGTGAGCAAGGGCCGAGGAAGGGAGTACACATTTTCAATAAGCCACAGTCCATTAACCCTTTGTGTAGTCAGCCCGAGATTGGGCTTGCTTTCCAGCGAGAAAATGAACCACACAATCGGAATGGGAATGTGCCTGTGAAGCTCTGCCAGCTATTACATCCGGGAAACAGCACTCACAATCGGTTCACAATTTCCGTGAGATTAACATGCGTGTGTGTACTCGTCCACGGTGTTCCACAGCCAACTTTTTGGGGAATTGCTTTGGTGTACATTATTCCACGAATGGGATGTGCCATATGAGCACTTCTGATTTAGCAAATGTGTTGGTATTTTAATGGAGACCATGTGTGTAATGCGTCACAAATAATATTACGCTATAATGTGCAAGCTACTGTGTGGTTTTTGTTTTGTCTTTTACAAATCACATAGTAACTATAGTTTAAATTCAAGCTTGTAAGATATCATACAAGTGCTGGAAACTGGCTTTCATTTCAACTGCTTCAGCAGCTATCAGCCTCGTTACACACATATACCCTACCAAAGAGTAAGAGAACTGCATCTCAGGAGGAAAATTGCCTTTGCATAATGGGCAGTTGTAGAGCTTGCATAGATGCTAAAAGTTGTTGAAATCTGGATAATGACATATAAAAGTGAGAACTGCATGAAAAATGCACCTAAATGCATTTCAACATCACTTTGTAAGCATTATAATACCATTACGATTTACAGCCATAATTAATGTAAAGAATAAAAATGTTAATGGTGTTTCTGTTCGTAATAAATTACAGGGGCATACGTACCAGCACACACTGCCATCATGGCATAACCTTTTGCATTTCGGCTTGCTTATGAATTTTTTATAGACATTACAGGCTCCCCAGCATCAGACTCGAGCGAACACTGCAATTTGTCATACTGGCAGTGGCACCTACAATTTATAGTAATATCCATGAGGCATACCAGATAAGACGACAGGCTTAATGGAACGTTTAAAAGCCAGTGTCAGTTTAGACAAAAACTGGAGCCAGTGCTCCAGCATGTTTAATACTTTTCAACTATGACAGTAAATATTTTTTAGAATTTTTATAATTGAACATTAATTGTACAGATTCAGTATATGCAAATATATGCAATAAATTATTATATTTTATATTTCTTGATATATACAAGCAACCCACGTGTCCCTTGGACATCCGTCCATTGCTCCCAGCCATCCAGCAAAAATGTTAATCTTGTATTAGGGCCCTGTCTCTCTCCACCTTTATACTGCCTTCTCTGTGCTTCACATCCAAATTTATATCGATGTTTAATGTCTGTTTCTCTCTGTTTCTCTATGCCTCTATCCTCCCTTCTACCTCTCCCTCCCTCTAAATTCCTCTCCTCCAATAGCAGCCGCCATTCGCCATTAATCACTTCATGGTATCGCCACAGCACTTGTGCCAGGCTAGGTGCACAATGAGGCCATGTGAAGTGTCGCCCTTTCACTCCCTCCCCACCTCTATCCTCCCCATTGCTCTCAATCTTTCACTTTCCTCCATCTCCTTTCCCCACCTCCCTCCTACTGATTATATCTAGATTGCAATTAACAACCTCCATTTGGCTGAGATGACGGTATTAGTTGTGTTTAAAATAACATGAAAAAACGTAACGGATGGGCCACACGAAAGCTACCGTCTCGGAAAGAACCCTGGCGAACAGTGGAACAGCGCGGCCATCCAGAATAAAAGTCTCATTCGAGATCCAGACATTGCACCTCCTCATGTCTTTGACATTTCCTCAAACACAACGACTGGCGTGACCATCAACCGCATCAGAACATTAATAAGCTGTGATGAACAACTCCAAAGCAAGTTGAGCTAGAATTTGCAGTGCTCTTAGATAACAGGGTTTTGAAGGGTTATCAGAAGCAATTTGGTGATCTCACCTTCCAGAGGAAGTTCTCTAATAAGGGGGGGGGGGGGGTGTTCTGCTTTCTGAAAGAGTTTACATAGGAATGTATTTATCTCATACCATGATTCCTTGCACAAATGGAATATAATTGACAAAAACTAAAAATGCCTGACCATAACTTGGTGGAAACAATTCACCATAACTTGGTGGAAACAAGTTATTGTTTTCAAAACTTACTGACCACCCCTTTGAGACTTCTTTCGCATGGTACGTAGCCAACCATGCTAATTTGGAGGTGTATGTATAGCCTTTATTTAAACAAGACAACAGCCAATCCATTCTTTATGCCTGTTATTACTGAAGGGCAATGCATGTCATAAAAAATACAGTAAACACTACACAAAACGTCAAAATATCTTACATCGTAAATCTTACATCAATATGAACATTAAACAACCATTAATAATAAATTAACAATCACAAAATATGTACGTACATAAACAGTTAGGGTGTAATACTGTAAACAAGTATAGTGAACATTTACATTGTATGTTACAGCTGCATAGGGTCACTGGCCATAAAAAAAACACCTTACACGTAAGGTTCTTTGAATTATACAACACACTAATTAACAACAAACATTGATTTACAGGCACAATTAATTAAATACCACTTCGTCAGCAGCTGCTTAAATTTCCCTGTTTTGAGGATCTGCTTACTGAGCCTGTAGATGTCCTGCCAGCCGGTGGATTGTGGGGCGGCTGTGATGGTGACCACAGGGCACCCGTTTCCGCCCATGCTCTGGCACAACGTCTGCTGCTTAAAGTATATCTGTCGCTGGTCACAGGCTGCACCCAGGCCCTGTAGGTGAGCCTGTATCAGGAGGACAGAGCAAAGAGAAAATATAAAAAAACAGCACTGCATTCCAGCTACGAATGTAGTTGTGCAATGTGGTGCAAATGAAATATCTGATGTTTCCCCCTTTGTCTTTTTTTCCCCTAACCTTCCCTTCATTTTACAAAAAAATCCATTCTCCTGATCATTGTCCCTACGTCAGTCGGGTAGGCGAGCCCATCTCTCTCCCTTTCCCCTGCCCCGTGAGCACCGCGCCTTTGGCTTTTGTTAGCGGGATTTCTGTGCCTCCTTTACTTTTTTTCCCACTCGTGCTCTGTACCGAGACTTTTCGCCAAAACATATATATACGAAATAAACTTCTGATGTTTTGTAGGTGTGATGATGTTCATGACACAGAAGATATCCTTTTGAAATGCTGTAACATGCAATATACTATTTGTACAGCCCTGTGCTAATCCACTGCTGTATGAAGGCCTTCATGTGACGTTTCAGGCACAGCTGTTATTTGACCGTAGTTTACCATGCCAGTTCGTGCTGGATGGTGAAAGAGAGGGGATTGCCCACGACTGGTTTACAATATCATTCACTGCTGATGTTAGCCGTGACTGGGAATTGAACTCAAGTCGCCTGATTCATAGCAAAGTGCGCTCACCACTACGGGACCAGCCTCTAAGAAAATCCATATGACTATGGGAATTCATTTTTTTTAATTAACTGCTGCTGATGCTTAACAGGCTATAAGATAAACATAAACTCTCCTCTTCAGTTGGAAAATTCTGTCTGAAGGTTATGCATTGATGAATATTAAATGTGGTCACTGGCCAAAATCTAATAAATAATTGTTTTAGGTATTAAAAAATATCTTTAATAAAGAGAGCACATAGAGGAAAGATATATTGCTGGGTATGCCATTTTTACTAAACACTGAAATTCAATCACGGGTCCTAGCAAAAGAATTGCTTTGAAATTGAATTGTATAGATACAGCCTGAAAATAATTGAAAATGCAGTACAATTTCCAGCTGCCTTAAGTGTAAGGGCATGTACTTAATGGGGCATTGTATTACTCGTAACTTTACCATCATTTCCAGAAACATTGTACAGTACAGAGTAAAACCACCTTTTAGGGGCACCACCAACTACAAAACGCCACCCTTTTTGCTGTCGATATTCAATCAATTATTAACATTGCGCCCTTGAACTATGACTGAGGTCGAAGATATTAATTGAATATGGCTGCTCCAAGTTATTCCTGTGCTTAGTGTTTCATATAGATCCTATGCCAAATACAAATATTAATGGTCAAATCTAAAACCATTAGCATGAAGATGTAAAGGTTTTCAATGTATATGTCAGGGTACCATAGCATGGCTACTTGAGCCTTAGCCATTTTCTCCGAATCACAAATAACACAACAGTAAGCTGCACAACATGTATTCATGCAGGCAAATGTTAAGGCAATCTCCTGCAGAAAAATCACAACAAAAGCATTACAGCAAATATAAATATACCCAACCTGTTGGAGAGTAAAATCTTTGAAAACAGCACTTTGTTTCAACAACACTAGGACTACCAATTTACTATAATTGTCAATTATTGTTTTGTTTATTTTTACGGGCACTAAGGTACGATTTGACAAGTGCACCTACCAGAGCACAAACGGGCCGCTCAGGTTCTGGAAAAAAAAACCACGTAAGTGCACAGTGCACTTGCGTGCAGCAATGCAGGTATTCGTGCAGCCATAAAAGGAGAAATTGGCGGCTTATGCATGAAAACTATACGAATGGTATATCCGTGCTCACGTACATGTGTGAATTAGGGGTGGAATGATTCACCAACCCTCCCACACAGCAATTCAATTGTCACAATTCAGGACCGTGATTCAATGCAACGGTGGATTACTTTTTTAACATTGTGGCGAATGAAAGCACCTCAAGCGGTTGCAGAGGTGACTTGAACCCATTATATATAACAAGCACTCATTGGGGAAAAGCACATTTATATATGTATGTTTCAATGCATAATAGGCAATAACTTCTGTGTTGACCGAGGAATGACAGCCATTTTCAAATTTAACACCCTAGCTGCAAAGTGCGATATACATTTTGAACCGGCTAAAACCGGTGACCAAATCTATTTTTTTGGATTTCATTCTGGAAAAATACATTTATTTAGGTTTGTTTTTCAGTTTTGCTGAAAAAAAGGCAGTTTATTCCAGTTCTTGATTCTGGTTTTTGGTTCCACTCTCTGAAATAAGTATTTATACATAGCTCTCAGAGCAAGCAAAATTATTAATGTTATTATTATTTTTAAATGTAAATATTTAGCATATAGAGTGAGGGAAAAAAGTATTTGATCTCCTGCTGATTTTGTACGTTTGCCCACTGACAAAGAAATGATCAGTCGATAATTTTAATGGTAGGTTTATTTGAACAGTGAGAGACAGAATAACAACAACAAAATCCTGAAAAATGCATGTCAAAAATTGTAAAAATTGATTGGCATTTTAATGAGGGAAACAAGTATTTGACCCCCTCTCAATCAGAAAGATTTCTGGCTCCCAGGTGTCTTTTATACAGGTAACAAGCTGAGATTAGGAGCACTCCCTTTAAGAGTGTGCTCCTAATCTCAGCTCATTACCTGGATAAAAGACACCTGTCCACAGAAGCAATCAATCAGATTCCAAACTCTCCACCATGGTCAAGACCAAAGAGCTCTCCAAGGATGTCAGGGACAACACTGTAGACCTACACAAGGCTGGAATGGGCTACAAGACCATTGCCAAGCAGCTTGGTGAGAAGGTGACAACAGTTGGTGCAATTAGTCGCAAATGGAAGAACTGTCAATCTCCCTCGGCCTGGGGCTCCATGCAAGATCTCACCTCGTGGAGTTGCAATGATCATGAGAATGGTGAGGAATCAGCCCAGAACTACACGGGAGGATCTTGTCAATGATCTCAAGGCAGCTGGGACCATAGTCACCAAGAAAACAATTGGTAACACACTACGCCGTGAAGGACTGAAATCCTGCAGCGCCCACAAGGTCCCCCTGCTCAAGAAAGCACATATACATGCCCGTCTGAAGTTTGCCAATGAACATCTGAATGATTCAGAGGACAACTGGGTGAAAGTGTTGTAGTCAGATGAGACTAAAATGGAGCTCTTTGGCATCAACTCAACTCGCCGTGTTTGGAGGAGGAGGAATGCTGCCTATGACCCAAGAACACAATCCCCACCGTCAAACATGGAGGTGGAAACATTATGCTTTGGGTGTGTTTTTCTGCTAAGGGGACAGGACAACTTCACCGCATCAAAGGGATGATGGACGGGGCCATGTACCGTCAAATCTTGGGTGAGAACCTCCTTCCCTCAGCCAGGGCATTGAAAATGGGTCGTAGATGGGTATTCCATCATGACAATAACCCAAAACACACGGCCAAGGCAACAAAGGAATTGCTCAAGAAGAAGCACATTAAGGTCCTGGAGTGGCCTAGCCAGTCTCCTGACCTTAATCCCATGTAAAAATCTGTGGAGGGAGCTGAAGGTTCGAGTTGCCAAACGTCAGCCTCGAAACCTTAATGACTTGGAGAAGATCTGCAAAGAGGAGTGGGACAAAATCCCTCCTGAGATATGTGCAAGCCTGGTGGCCAACTACAAGAAACGTCTGACCTCTGTGATTGCCAACAAGGGTTTTGCCACCAAGTACTAAGTCATGTTTTGCAGAGGGGTCAAATACTTATTTCCCTCATTAAAATGCAAATCAATTTATAACATTTTTGACATGCGTTTTTCTGGATTTTGTTGTTGTTATTCTGTCTCTCACTGTTCAAATAAACCTACCATTAAAATTATAGACTGATAATTTCTTTGTCAGTGGGCAAACGTACAAAATCAACAGGGGATCAAATACTTTTTTCCCTCACTGTATATTGTTTTCTAAGACAGTATATTTTTGAGAAGCTATAAATGTAACACATGGAGCACACCTGTGCACAAATAAATACAAAAATGACCAAGATATATGATTTCGATGTATGTGAAGACTCTGTAGTGCCTCATGCCTATAAGCTGTACGCTCAGCTTGAACAGGGTTGACTTAAAACATAGGTTTTCGTAGCCAATAATGTGACCCATATTTGGTGTGATAATGGATTCGGCCTAAGTTGCATTGACAAAAAACTAATTGCGGCAGGCTCACACATTGCACGTCTAATATGTAATATGTCACGTAATTAATACATGTATAGCGAGAGGTGACAGCTCACCATTAGGCTGGTGTATGTGTAGGGGAAGTGGTAGGCAAAGTAGCAGGCGTCATCCTTGTGAAAGAAGGTCACCGTGAAGGTCAGAGTGTAGTAGGATTTGCCGCGCTGCCCACCAGCTGCTGCCGAGCTGCGCGAGAAGCTGTTCCTAAAAGCACACCGTAGCTATTCAGTATTAGAATCAGAATATGTATTTATACTGCAGGCATCTGATGAGCTATAAAGTTCCTTTTCACAGATGTCCAGTAGAGGCAGGTAGGAACGTGACAACAAACAGTACAACAACACGTGGTAAGTAGCGCAAAGTGCAAGAAAGGTAAACAAACCGCCAAAACACATACAAATAAAACTAAACCATCCCCATCCTATTGAGGAGCCTTTAAAAACCATCACTTTACCCCACATTGCGGGGATCACAAAAACGATCTCCAAAATCTTAAATAAACACAAGATCCAGGTCCGTTTAATCCTGGTTCCGTCTGTAAAAGATGTGATTCCGGACATACAGTACCCTGGTGTCTACAAACTAAGTTGCCTCTGTGGTAGTAGTTACATTGGAGAAACCAAACGCCATGTCTCGGACCGCATTCGTGAACACAAAGCAGACCTTAAAAACACGGTAGGACCAACACCTCGGCCGTGGCAGATCACTGTTATAATTCAGTAGGCTCACATGACATTGACTTTTCCAAGACAGAGGTTCTTTGTAAGCCATCTGGCTACCATGAGAGATTCGTTCATGAGGCTATCCACATATACAAGCACAGAGACAATTTCAACCGAGAAGATGGATTCTGGCTTAGCAATCATTGGAAAGATTTGATTAACCATTTCAGGTCTTAATTGATTGTTCACGCTTACAGTGGCTTTCAGACAGCATACATTAATTTTTCGTCTCCCCCCTCCTCTTTTCAGAACATAGATGGACTAGTCCTTCTAAATAAACTGCCAAATCGCCGCGCGTGGCGCTGACGGTTTTTAATAAATAAATAAATACACCGTTTAAAAATAAATTAATTAATGCGGACCGTCACACCTGATGACGACCGTTTGTGTTATGGTCGAAACGTCGTGAGAATTGTTATTGTTATATATATTTTATTATTTTATTGTTTCCCTTCAACGTGACTTTACCGAAAGAGCTAAGAATATGAATTACTGCAGTCACGAAAGCTTTAAATCAAAATTCATCCCCATCCTACCAGGCAGAGCCCACTAAGGTATTAACTTATTTTTCAAAAGCGACCTGGCATTCACAAATGATAGTTCAACAAAGTGGCCCATCATTTTGACATTTATAGCACCATATATATAATCTAAATAATCTCAATGCATGTTTACAAATGTGGAGGGAAAAACCGGAGACATGCAGGCAGCCACAAGCAGCCACCCTACGACTTAATGTCACGCGGTCCACATCACTTCGGCTGCACACCAGCAAATGGGGAAGATGATGTAAGAAAGCTAAATGGGGCAATGTCAAGCTTATTTTGCTTTACCAAAAGTCAGAACTCAATTGGCCAGGATTTAGTAATTTGCAAGAATGACCTGGGGGTCACCAAAATGACAAAAGATAAACAAATAAAATACAGTACAGCAAATAAGAAAACAAGCACAATGTATGTTCACAAACTGCAGAGCAGGAATTCTCCTGTTTTCTTCCCTAACGTGCTGGGAGCTTCTTCAGGTACTGAATCGAGTGGCTTACTCCCTCTCTCTCTCTCTGGTATATAGCATTGCTGGCTGCTGTTGGCATATATACGTAGTTGAAGGTGATTGGCTCAGTTCTCTAACATGTGTTTGTAACCAAAACTGAATGCGTAAATTAACCAGCGTAGTATATATTTAGGCAAGCTTGGTGTTTAATAATTGAAATTCGTCATTGTAATCTGACCAAAAGCGTATCTTAATTTTATATGTCTTAACTATTATAAATGATATTTAAAAAATAGTTGCCACACTATTAGTATTGCTGTTTTATATATGTTTTAAATCACTTCAACAGATTGTACAAGTTAAATTAATAGCAATGTACATATTTTAATGGCTTATGAGTATTTTTTACCATAGGAATTAATATCAGAAGCACTTGTTACAGTACAGAAAATTGGCATGGAAGATATGAGATTTTAAACCAAATGTGGTTGACCTTTACATAAAATCATCATGCAATATCTCTGCAGATTGAATCTATTCATGGTCTGGGTGGTGTTCACCTATTAATTTACCTGGAACACTTCATTCTTATTAACAATTGTGTAAAAAAGAATCCACCACTTAAATGGGCAGAGACCATCGCCATCATATGCCTATAAATTACAGACTTCAGCTATAAGTAATGGAAGCTAAATCCAAACTAGCCATGGCTACACCACCATGAATTGCATATAGTAATGCGCATAGGGCATTACATTTAACTGCTACAATAATCTCAAATCAGTTGTGTGAATTATAATGCTTTACGGTGCTGTGGGGGGCGGGGGGGGCAAGGTCAAGAGGGCATGCTCAATTTGCTGGGGGGAATCAGCTTCAACAGAGCCTCAAGCGTCTGGACATATTTATTGGCATGAGACTGACCTTCACCCCCCTCGCAAACAAAAGTGGAAGAATGATAACTAAAAATTGACAAAGGTAAGTAGAGGAATTCTGCTGAATAAAAAAACATGGTGCATTAACGATCCGCCACGCTAAACGGACACCATCCGGAACTTTAGGTAGCCATGAGGTGCTTTGTTCCTGTGTGGTCAACAAACATGCAGGAAGTTTGTGATCTTTTGTGTGGCAAAAAAAATATTCAGTTACACTTGATACCATCATAGAATAACGTGTTAGTCAATATTTCCAAGGATATTACACCTTGTGTAAAATAGCTAAGGCAGCTTAAGAACGGACTAACAATACACAGTTGGAAAAGACGTGAACCACAAACCATCAAACACCAATGGGAAATTTCTAATACGCAAAATAGGACTATAACATTTCATCACATGACATGATAATGAGCACACTGACTAAATTACTATATGTGCCTCTCTGTGGATTCACCACGGAGGCCAATTAAAAAGGGCCAAAATTACTGACGTAGTCAGTGGAAACTCTCTGTATCCATTCGTTGATTTTTGCTTGTGTACACAATCAATAATGCGCAAACATTACAGCAAGAACACAACATGCAACATGGTCGTAAAGTAGAACAAGCATAACGCAGGCGCCTATATCCATGGGGCGTGGTATTAAAATTATGACTGTGCTTTCCCATAACAAATGCTGCTAGTAATAAACAGGTGAAAAGAGAAGCAGTTAAAATGCATCTTTCCTTCAGCCAGGTTGTTTACGGCTCTACCTGAATTAATGCTCAAATCCCATCTATTATGTAGTCGCTCTCCATCCTCGCCCACCGAAAGTGAACTACTTAGCCTAATCAATATGTTTGGGCCACAGGAAATGGCCGATTGACTAAGGAGATAGCGATGGGTCGAACAATGACTCCAGAGCAGTGCTTAACTCTTCCCCATCTATTCCCTGTCCGCTAATTATTCTCAAGGCTTTTTTTCCTACACGTTCTCTGCCACCCGGTTCTCTCAATAACCCCTTTAATTCATCGCCCAGTGCAGCCGATGCAAGACAGCTCTGTACTCACTGGTCACCCATCACCCCATATGCTCACCCAAAAAACCTATTGATTTTTCATTAAGGTAAATAAAAGTCCCCAGTATAAGAGGTCAGAGCATGTCCCATTATGCTGATATTGACTCTGCGCTGACATGGGTAAAACAACCTAAACAGATGTTTTTTAACAGCTTGGTAATTGTTAACTACCATTTACAATATGAACCATAAACAACTAAAAGTATTTTAGGAGGAACATTTCAATAAAAAGGTAGTTAAATTAGTGGTGCATCTCCATTGCTCTCCAATAATTGTAATAATGCTGTTAACATTTTTATAAACATCTGCATTGTTAAAAATGCTTGATATACAAAAAAAACTTGATAGATTTTACAAAAGTAAAATTGCATGGTAAATTTTACATCTTAACTCTACCCCAGGCATCTGCTTGCTTTCTCAAATTGGCTAAGTCAAAGACCATGAGTTCACAAATGTTTATTTTGCCAAACAAATGCTCTCAACTTCAATAATGGAACAAATGCATGCTTTTGCTTCTCCAAAACCAAAGAGATCAGGACCAACCACGTACAGAATATCATCATGTATATTCAATAACCTCCTCCACCAAAGGCTTTTGTAATAAGTGTAAAAATATTGGCGATTGAAAAACGGTCTTTTGGCAGGTCCTGATGTTTTAATATAAGATGATGAGTAACTCGTCAATTGTGGCACACGGTTGCACACGATAAGTTTTGATTTGTGCACGTGAACGTGCGGTCTTGACACGTGCAATTGAATTTCCACTGTCCACAACGTGGGAAACGCACACCACCGCTTTCCCTGTTTAATGATTCGGTAATCAATGCAGACCGCAGTTCAGAATTTGCCAGGCCCTAATCTATTCCAATTAACTTTTAACGCTGAGCCCCAATGGGAAGGGCGTGGTTGGACACCGCGCTTGACCGTTAGTAAATTGAATGCCTGTAATTGTCTTCAAGTTGTGTTTTCCTATGTGGCACACACGGTACAAAACATGTGACCGCCCACACAGCCTGCCCATATGCAATGCTGCTTAAAATGTGATGCTAGTAAATTGCCAGCTATGCTGCAGCTCATAAAGTTACCGTACTTGTAGTAGCAGATGTCTGTGCCGGCCCGTACCCAGTGAGGTCGCCCTGCCATTGCCTCCCGTACTGAATACATGACAGGCTGCATACCTGCAGGACACATGCGGACACACACATTCTAATACACATCAAACTAGTATACGTAAACAAGATATATCCTGATTATATACGAGTTTCCCACCTACAAAATCAGTGGAAAAAATAACTATTCGCTGCTTGAATTAAAATTTTAGTTGCTGGGGTAACTATAAAAAATTGCGTACTTTTTACCATTCGATATTTAAAACTGATATATTTACTATGTACATTTCCCTGCAAAAAATATAGATTTTATATTCTTTCTCTTCCAATGTCATATAACCATGTTGCTGCTGACGTCCCCCATTAGCCTCTGGAGGCTTTAGGGTATCCAGTAGCATTGGGGTTATGATAACCATCTAAAATTCACCTTATATATGCGCCTTGCTCCTGCCATGTAAGCCTGCACCCAAGGGGTCTACAGGTCAGTGGGCAGACCATCTGTACTGGCAAGTAAAATGTGCTTAAGCCAGAGAGACAAACAGACTTGTAGAACCCAATGTCCCTTGGTGGGTAAGTCAATCATCTGCAAACGGTTCAGTTTCAACTTGCTTTTAAAAATAGAATTCATATTGATCTTGGCCTTGTTGTGCTGGCATTACATTGCAATAAAAGCCTTATGCTTCCATTTGAATTCCCAGTGATCCGCAAAATGTTTTACATCATAATCTCATTATTATAATTACAACTATATTTTAAAAATATGAAATTACTCCTTGTCAAAAATGACTTATAGTCTGATAATTACAAAATCTTTCTTCCTTAAATTTACAAAAAATCAGTAGCATTATTTGTCTTGAGCTTGATAGAAGCTAAAGTAACTTATTTGGTGAAACCCTTGAAGACTATTTGTGAAGATTAATGGTGCTGTGTAGACTACATACAGTAAACTGCTTATGATGGGTGCCATTTATTCTCAAAGAGGTTTAAATGCCAGAGGTGCTAAGGATGCTCAAGGTTTCAGACAGAAATATGTCTACATTCTGATGGCACTCACTATCCCCTGAACATTGCAACACGTACCATAGTTGAACTGGCTGTTGACCTTCTCGCAGTTCACGATATTGAAGCGGTACGGCACTCCGCTTTCCATTCCACTCACTTCAAAATAGAACCACTGATGGTGACGGTTGCTGTTAATGTCCGAGTCCAGAATCAGGTCATACTCATATCTGAAGGAGAACAGATAAATCAAAGGCATCAACAGCGGAAATGGACCAATGTGTCATTTGAGGCTTCAATTTTAAGGTGGTCAACTGAATTCACGAGAAGCTGGCTCGAACAATGCGCTCCCTGAATCTGTTGGACGAACAGGAGGATGTCATGTGATGAATAGCATGGTTGTCCACAACTTCAAATACAAATATATCAAATAGCCCCACTAACCACCATCATCGGCCATGGTTTATACACTGGATTAAGGCATCACCACATTATTGCCATCATCTTGTGATGCATCATCTATCTTTCTACTTCACGTAAGCTAATCTCATCCTTTCAGGTGAGTTCCCTCCATTGGCTGTCATTCCATCACCAATCTCATTCATGGCCTTCGTCCGTTCTACCGATGTGTCTTGCCAAAACCAACTTGTTTTCCTTACCAGTCAACAAAATGTCTCTATATTTGTTCTCTCCATGATTGAAATTTCGAAGTGTTAATCTTCTCTCCATACTTGAAGTTTTTATTTACTTTACTTTGTCCGTTTCCAGGACTCAAAACCATACGTCAAAGCAAATAGTGAAGAATATTTTGTTTCGTACTATTAATACCAAACAATTTTAAAATGCTCTTACCATCTGTGATTTAAAGTATCTTTAATGAGATGGTTTCATATAATTGAGCATCTCTGCAGTGACTACTTTAAATTGGCGAAGCAAGCAGGCAAACAATAAATAACAAAGGAGAAACATGTTAATTATTTTAAAAAATTCATGAAAAATGACCAAGAAATAATGAAATATTACTTTATAAATAAAACGAAACTGTGCTCAGAAAAGCAATCAAGCACACACGTTATATTTTTCTGTGTTTAGTTTGTTGTCCTTCCCCCACACCTTCCATTTGCATGGTTGGCTAAGTACGGTGTGAAAGAAGTTCAACATATTACATGACAAGCACATATTTTGTGCAGAATCGAGTGGCCATTCTCACCCTTCACCTGACTACATTATTAGTTCACGTAAATTGTATAACTCATTTCACAGCTTTGACCAATATAACACTGTAGATTTCAATAAAGCTAACCATTTGAAAAGCAAATGAATGTACTCTTCCATGAGGTTCCCCATACACAAATGTATACATGCCAACAAAACTATTCCACATTTAATTTATATGTTCTACACATTGTATGTATGTATGTAGAATTTCTTGCACACCGTATGTAGCCAACCGTGCTAATTGCAGGTGTGGAAAGGCCATCATGTATAACACTCAAAGTTTAATCAAACATAATCAAGCTTTTTTTTTCTTTGGTTCCAAAAATTCCTGAATGGTTGCTTTTCCCTAAACCTGTCGACATCTGTGCTCCCTTGCTCCCTGTCTCCCTCCCCTCTCTCCTGCACCTTTTCCTGGTCGCTCATCTGGGACCCAGCAGTGTGGGACAAATGGTCTGGCAAAAAGCATGAAAATAGTTTTTGAAAAACTGCCAAAATGCTGAGCAACTTTACTCGTTAATTAATGGACTCGTTCTCGGCTATCATAAACGTGTCCGGCTTCATTATAAACAGAGACATGTCCAACAACTGGTTATACGCTTTGCAGAATTACGAAAATTTTGACAATTACCTGCGAATATGAATGGCTTTTCGAAGATTTCCAGACTCAAATTCTGAGCAAAATTTCAGGCAATCTCCATCTTCTGAGACCAAGCTGAAATACATGTCAAAACAATACAGCAAGCGCTCGGCATTAAGCTCTACTTCCAACGGAGGCTTTTAAATATGTACACATAATGGCAAGCATTAAACAAATCCATGTTTCTGAGTATTACCTGGGCATATCAAGGTCATACACCACTCGATCTATAATATCACCAGGGCGAATCAATCGCTCAATGTCTTGAAATATCTTGGACCTTTAATTAAGAAGTTTCAGAAAAAATACATTTGAATGTTAATGACACAGTGTGACAATCGCAATCTGTAAATGGCACACTTCCAAATACATACGAATTAAAAAGGAAAAATGCGAATTTACATAATGTAAAGATAAATTACTTTTGCTATATCGCATAATAAAATTAATCAGATATCACTTGACTTTTATCGTCACTGCATTGTATAAAGATGATTTTTAAAAACAGCACAACAGGCATATTTCGGAATCATATATTTTATAAGTCTTGTGTTATGTGGTTGTGTTATCATTACTCCTGTGGGGGGTGCAAATTTCGCCATGACTCCGATTAAGTCAATTACCTCTGAACGCCATATTCTCTCTCCACCGATGGCTCCCTGTACAGAGGGGGTATATGCCCATAGTAGTCGGGAAAGGCCATTTTGCTGAACCCCGCCACAGATTTGGTATTTCTGGCTAGCAGCGAGTAGAGTTCGTTGTCGTGTGAAGGGTCCGGCTTGTCCCTGGACTCCTTACCACCCATCATCTTCTCCTTCAGATCCCGCTGGACAGACGCTGAGGTCGGGGCTCCGCCAGTACATTTTACATTTGCCTGGGCCTTCTTGGACGCAGCTAGCTTTTGACACCAGTTGGCACCCTCCAACCGTTTGGCTTCCTTCACGCTCAGCTCCGGCGTGTTCTTTTTCAAATCGCCGAACCTGCTTGCGTCTACGTGAATGCACACCTTTGCGTTCAAGCACCCGCAGATTAGCGACTGTTCTGACACCTCCAAGCACAAGCCTCTGAATCCGATGACGAAATCGCGAGAATCGGCACTGTGCCCACAACCCTGCGGATCTTTGAAGCTGTTGCCTTTTGCCATTTTCTGGGCTCCGGGTTCAGAACGAGGTTTCTGCGTTGAGTCGTCGCCATCAATGAGAGGTGATGCCACGCTGTTCTGAATGGGCAGCCCCTTACCTGTTGAGCTACTGCACTTGTCGTTGCTGCTTGCTGTTGGTATTACAATGGGGCTGGGCATGTTCTTTGCACTTTGGTGATTTATATTTTCATTTACTTTGGAAAATGTGTCCTATAGATGGGATGCAAAATGATGAGGAAATGAGTGCAATCAAAGCAAGTGAACATAAACAACACAATTTGATAAGGATACTCATCCTGAACTGTTACTCAAATGTACTTCAATGATAAAAAGATCACAGTGTGGAAACAATCATTAGTTTAACAATGTAAAAAATATATACAAAAACATTTAAAAAAAGAATTTACAAAGATAATGTATTCCACAATTAAACTTCAGACAATTAAAAAAAATAGTTCTGGCTGCAGAGAAGCTCCAAAAACTGAACAAATTACTTGATGATACTGCATTGCCAGTGGTGCCTCATGTCATTTTCCTCTTAAGGCCACAGTGACATTGACGAATGTGTTGAGTTTTGTACAAACACTGAGGCACGTTGCACTCACCGAAAAACTGTCCAAGAGCTCTGGGAAAAACTGCTCGTACATTTTGAGTGCATCTTCTGAGCGATCAAGCGTAGGCTTCATCTTTAACTTGTCCAGATCGGTCTCAATGTCAGGATCCTGAATAACCAACAATGTTTTTGCATGACACTTTCGCATGCCTATGGACTGAGCAAACACAGTACGTCAAAATAATGTATTCCTTTTAAAATATATCTCAGCTGACTCATGTAATATATAATTTTCTTCCAGTACATGTTTCTATACAAAATGGTCACGTAAGCCATCGTTTAAACTTTTTGAGGCTAGGTGTGCCAGTCTTATTAAATTCACTCTATTGATATGCATATCCATATATATGAATAAATCTGCCTATGACCAAGTCACCTGGAAATACAATGGATCTTGTCATATCCCCGAAGTCAAGCAAGTTTGAGCCTGGTTACTGTTTTAATAAGTGACCACCATTCATAACCACCATTGACACAATGTGGGGAAACACTTATCCAGAATTGGGATTTAAATTTGGCTGTACATGTCCACACTGATATATGTGGTAATATACCGCCTAGACGAGATAAAGACCCAGCTTTCATGGGTACAGTGACCATCTACAGTTTATCACAAAATGTATGTAATGTGCAAACACAACTATTCAGTAGACAATCAGCACTGCAATCACACTGAATTACTGTCCAGCACAGGTAGAGGGGGGAATTAGGAAAACCAATTTTTTTTTAAAGTTCCGCACAAAATTGTTAAAAGCTTATTATTTTAGAAAACAAATGTATCTCAGCAAATGCAGCCAAGGTTAAATAAATGTCATTCAAGTACTGCAGAGGTGCTTTCACCTTCTCTAAAAAGTCCTCTTCTTCTTCATTTTCATTCTCCTGCTCGGAATCTTGTTCAAGGTTATCATCACTTTCATCGGCCACGTCATCCACTGACAAAACAAGGCTTTCAATTAGGGAAGCGCGCAATCAGTCTAAACAAAGCCTCATCCGTCAAAAAGACGACGACCTTCAGTGTAAAGTGAGATATACAAAAGCAGATTGCTCGTGATATTAGTACTGAAAAGTTGGCTACCTCCGGGGGGTAAGTTGTAGAGCTGTGCCACTGGGCCCGTGGTGGGTATGACAGGCAGCGGGAAGTGGTGAACACTTCGGATGGTGGGTAGAGGCAAGCGGTTCTTGGGGCAGCACTTTCGCATGATCATGGTAGACAAGTTCACCAGCAGGTCCAGTCCTCGGCTGGTAAGGCACTCCTGCCAGGGGGTGCGCATTCGGCAACAATGAAACTTGTTGGCTAGCCATTTGACGCGTAACGTACCTTTGAGATGTGCGACAATGAGTTAACATTACAGATGGTTATAGTGACACAAGCACTCAAATGCAGCAGAAAACTTTCATTTTTAGCAACTGGAAACCGTGCACATGCAGCTTATTGTGTGGATGGTGTTAACGTTCAAAATATGGATTATTTTCGACAGAACGGGTTTTAAAGCAAGTGAATATATGCAATCCTGCACAGCGGTTTTCAATAAAAGCTTACACAGTGTATACCTGTGCAAGAAGTTATCAGGTGGGGGGGGGGGGGTGGGGAATTCCATGCCACCCAGGTCGCAAAATAAATAAAATTCCGCTACGCTTATTCAGTGACACCACGGCGGATTGCCCCATGATCCCACATTTATGATGCCCCTGCTCTTAGGTGATCAGTGTGGTGAGCGTGGAATATCCACTTATATATTTTTAGTTAGTGAAAATAAATATTTCAGATGCAACGTCCATACTTCTCAGCACTATTCTGGCTCTTGAATAAGCTTTCGTGATTTGATGCCATTGTCGCAAACACCTATTTGCCAGGATACAGTGAGGGAAAAAAGTATTTGATCCCCTGCTGATTTTGTATGTTTGCCCACTGACAAAGAAATGATCAGTCTATCATTTTAATGGTAGGTTTATTTGAACAGTGAGAGACAGAATAACAACAAAAAAATCCAGAAAAACGCATGTCAAAAATGTTATAAATTGATTTGCATTTTAATGAGGGAAATAAGTATTTGACCCCTCTGCAAAACATGACTTAGTACTTGGTGGCAAAACCCTTGTTGGCAATCACAGAGGTCAGACGTTTCTTGTAGTTGGCCACCAGGTTTGCACACATCTCAGGGGGGATTTTGTCCCATTCCTCGTTGCAGATCTTCTCCAAGTCATTAAGGTTTCGAGGCTGACGTTTGGCAACTCGAACCTTCAGCTCCCTCCACAGATTTTCTATGGGATTAAGGTCTGGAGACTGGCTAGGCCACTCCAGGACCTTAATGTGCTTCTTCTTGAGCCACTCCTTTGTTGCCTTGGCCGTGTGTTTTGGGTCATCGTCATGCTGGAATACCCATCCACGACCCATTTTCAATGCCCTGGCTGAGGGAAGGAGGTTCTCACCCAAGATTTGACGGTACATGGCCCCGTCCATCGTCCCTTTGATGCGGTGAAGTTGTCCTGTCCCCTTAGCAGAAAAACACCCCCAAAGCATAATGTTTCCACCTCTATCTTTGACGGAGGGGATGGTGTTCTTGGGGTCATAGGCAGCATTCCTCCTCCTCCAAACACGGCGAGTTGAGTTGATGCCAAAGAGCTCCATTTTGGTCTCATCTGACCACAACACTTTCACCCAGTTGTCCTCTGAATCATTCAGATGTTCATTGGCAAACTTCAGACGGGCATGTATATGTGCTTTCTTGAGCAGGGGGACCTTGCGGGCGCTGCAGGATTTCAGCCCTTCACGGCGTAGTGTGTTACCAATTGTTTTCTTGGTGACTATGGTCCCAGCTGTCTTGAGATCATCGACACGATCCTCCCGTGTAGTTCTGGGCTGATTCCTCACCGTTCTCGTGATCATTGCAACTCCACGAGGTGAGATCTTGCATGGAGCCCCAGGCCGAGGGAGATTGACAGTTCCTTTGTGTTTCTTCCATTTGCGACTAATCGCACCAACTGTTGTCACCTTCTCACCAAACTGCTTGGCAATGGTCTTGCAGCCCATTCCAGCCTTGTGTAGGTCTACAATCTTGTCCCTGACATCCTTGGAGAGCTCTTTGTTCTTGGCCATGGTGGAGAGTTTGGGATCTTGATTGATTGATTGCTTCTGTGGATAGGTGTCTTTTATACAGGTAACAAGCTGAGATTAGGAGCACTCCCTTTAAGAGTGTGCTCCTAATCTCAGCTCGTTACCTGTATAAAAGACACCTGGGAGCCAGAAATCTTTCTGATTGAGAGGGGGTCAAATACTTATTTCCCTCATTAAAATGCAAATCAATTTATAACATTTTTGACATGCGTTTTTCTGGATTTTTGTTGTTATTCTGTCTCTCACTGTTAAAATAAACCTACCATTAAAATTATAGACTCATCATTTCTTTGTCAGTGGGTAAATGTACAAAATCAGCAGGGGATCAAATATTTATTTCCCTCACTGTATATGATGTTGAAGTACAACACTTGCTTTTGCGATCTCTGTCGACATGTCTTGTTAATTTCAAAGCTGGCAACCATATATATGGGTGGGCCAACCTGTGAGGTGGTGTAGAAAATCTTCATGCCGTCGGCCTCCAGGAAGGCCCTTCGGCCGTGCTTGATGGCGGTGATCTGCTTGAGGCAGGTGAGCAAGCCACGACGTACAGGCACATGGCTGTGGCGAGCGTCATGACGGTGCCAGTCTTGGTACACGTTGAGCAGGAAGACTATGTTCCCCCGGTCTACCGCTCTTCTCGCATTCGTTTCTGCAGTGAATTTCACAAGCAATGTTGTTAATTTATCCAATTAAATGTGGATGCTTGTATGAGCTATAACGATTCTCAGCTTACACCCCTGTTGGTGATTTGGTGCATTGTTCAGATTCAGTGTCGAAATTATATTTTAAAAATCATTTTAGAAACAGTGTGTTGGATGTGGTAGGGTCTCAAAGCCATTGCATACAAGATGTGCAAATTCACAAACAATGAATCTTACACATGCAATTCAATGCACGTATTGTGAGCTGAAAAATATGCATGTATTGATATAGTGCATTTTAACATCTCTTGTTTAATCTTTAACTTGTCCATTCTGGAATTCACAAGTGTTTACATACTTATTTGTAGACTAACTTCCTGCATTCAATATTTCAACTAAAGGTTTACATAAAAAACTATGTATTGAATATAAAATTAAGCACGCTTCCCATATTGACACTTACAACAGACCACTGAAGTTACACTATATATTTTATACTATGCTATTCTTTAAGCTTAAATGTAAACCGAGCAATTAACCTGTTTCTGATTATGAAAAAATATACCAAGGAAAAACAGGCAGATTCCCTATACTCAATGCTAACTCCAGTAACCCTGAGAACCCACAACTTAATGTAATTGTTTAAATGCAGCCCATTTATCACTTACTTGATTTTAGTAATGTTGCAAGGGTATCCAAGGTGATCCTGTCAAGGTAAATGAAAGACAAATATAAGTTCCACAAATGTAAGGCTAGAAGGCCAAGGTAAGATTTATGGGAAATGCTTTATCTGCCAAAGGGTCAAATCCATTATATAACCAGCATTCTGCATCTTATTACAACACAGTTGCTAATGCTTGATACTCTCCACTACACAGTACACCCACAAATGAATACTCTACATCTGTGTGCTGCCAAATCCACTCTTCACTACATGGTTGTGTGGCATTTTAGTTTGGGGCATATTCGGTTGCAGTGGTGAGATGAGCTACAGTCCGCTTCTGTTCAAGGGACCCCTGATGTTTTATTTGACTACATGCAGCCGGTCGTACAGTGCCCTCTGCTGGGAAAACGTGAACAGCACCGTCCTATTCATCAGATCTCTCACAAGAGCTTGGGAGCCTGGATTGACGGCACGCTTGAAAGTCAATGTTACTAGAGGTGGACGGGTGGTTCGGAAGTCAGCGCACTTTGGTGGCACTGCTGAGATCCTAGGTTCGCATCTCTTATTAAACCGGATCGTCAAGTTTAGCGAGTTTATGATCTCATCCGGGTCACCCATTACTATACACACAATTCGTTTCTGCACTTGCTAAAAATGTTAAATATCAGCTTTACTATCATATAATGAAAATTACTCTCAGTGGCTCGGTGGGTGGGAAAGTTAAGTCCCTTATTGTATGGACAAGAGGTTTGTTGAAGTGATCTCAAAAGGTGGCACTGTGATATGTGATTATGACAAAAATGGCAATAGCACAAATGGACATAAAACATTTGAAAGACATTTTAAAATCAAAAGACGATGTAACTATTGCTGAAAGGTTTCTCCCCAGAGATATAGACAGAGAAGAGACGAACAGTTTAATAGTGGTGAATGATGTTTTAAGTGGAAGAGGCCATACCCTTTCAATCACAAGGTCGGCTGCTGCACACAGAAGTGTTACGCTTTGCAAACCTTTTTAACACTAGACAGGCATCCATTACACTGATGACATCATGCACATAAGCAAAGGTGGCAGTCGCCTGCTCTGCTTTAGGTTATTTCAGTGCTCTGCTACTTCAATTACAGTGTGACTCGCACTGCAAAAAAAGTATTTATACCACTTGTGTTGTATTGTTATTTTAAATCATTTCAGTAAACGTATCTCACTTTAGCTAAAAAGTGAACCATACCACTTTCTTGGGATTGTTTTGGTTATATTTCATCTGGATATTTTTAAACCACATAATACATACCTCTAATTGTACTGAGAAATAGCTGACATAAAATGTGATAACATATACACGCCAAAAATGCTAATATTGTGTGGGACATTCCGTTGAAAAAATGCATTTTAATAACCGAATAAAAATATTTAATAAGATTAAATTGTGGGATGTATAAGCCAGTTAAGTTGAAACTTTAATGCCACACAACCAAAGCACAACCGCTACACGCTTGAGAGCTTGGCTCTGAAAACTGCAATTATAGTTCTGATCCCCAAATACAAAACTGGTCAGTGATGGGTGAAGTCTTTAAAATGCTCTCATTGTAAAACGTGTGGAAATATATTACAAACAAAACAGATCAAAGATGTCAAAGTACACGTGTGAGCATGCATTTCAACAGAGGCTGCAAAAGTGAACTGGAAGAAAGCTATATATTATATTCCATGCTAACAAGAACACAACAGTTGAACCGTCGGCTTTCGCGACTAATATCATCCATAAGAGGTTGTTTTGGGTTAGATCGCGTAAATATATAAATGTTTCGTTAAAAACATCCCCCCCCCCCACACTTTGGGCAAGAGCGAAGAAGCGTGGTCACCACATCTACGCCTTTATATAAGGAACGAAACAGGTGGATTACTCCACAAAACTGGCTGTCGCCTGAAGAAGCGAGTTGTAATTACTGGCGAAACGTCAAACTCAAATAAATTGTAAATGTTGTGCTGTACTAGTGACGAATTGGCATGTTCTGTTTACGTGACACCCCTTACTAGTTGGCTGTGTCGGGTGGTGGCGGGTTTTTAACGACACATTTATATATTTACGTGATCTAACCCAAAAAAACTCTATTATGGAAGAACACAACATCCAACATGTTGCAATGAATTACAGCACATTGCAGTTAAACCAATGTCAATATAAAAGGTCTTACATTCAGATTTGCTACATGCTAATAAAGCTCTGAAATACATTTTTCCATTGTGTACATTAATAACCATAATTAGTGATGTATTATCATTTTTAACAATGTTAGAAAACGTGTTTCTTGACTTTATTTCACATTAAATGTGACTACACATACAAGGCTAATGATTGTGTTATTTAAAGCGATGGCTTTATGCAGTTCAAAGTGATTGCACAGTTGATTTGTGATGGTATTGGCATTGACTGCTTACTCACTTGATGAAAGTGCTTTGTCTTTTGCTGAATGGGCCGACGATTTTGAAAAGCAGTTCCACCGCACCATTTCTCCCAAGCGAGACAGCATTCACAACTGCATTGATGACAGCAGAAGGCCATGCGCATAAACCCCACCGCTGCAGAAAGTCTCCATTACCATGGAGGCAAAGCCAACTCATCAACCAGAGGCCCATTTACCGTAAATCGCTTTGCATGCAGTGCATTTTTTTGTTTAAAGATGAAAGAGATCAAATGTTGCCAAGTGCGGACGCTCACTGCTGGCGGAGTAGGCCTTGATGGTGTGCATGCAGGGCAGGAGCAGGCGTTGATTGTGCAGATTCTGTTTGACAAGCGTCAGCGTTACTGGCAACGCACCGCACAGTCTGGCTTTTGTTGCAAACTTAGCATCTGAAATCATAAAATAAATTACATGATTGATATAATATAACAAAAGTAGATATTTTATTTATTATCAAACATTATATTTCCACAGTAAAACGGGTTGACATATTCCCACAGTCTTTGGTTCTATTCGGTAAAGTCACGTAGGTAAAAAATAAAACAAAAATCACGACGTTTCGGCCACAACACAAGCAGCCTTCATCAGGTGAAGGGACCAGACTGTCTCGAGGACAGCGCTGGAGTGAACACAGCTAAGCTCAGACCGCGACCTTTAAGCTGTGTGAGAAGAATCAAGGTGCCTTGACAAAGGAATTAGCATAAAAAATTAACATTTAATTGGCGGACTTAGCATGACGAAAGGTGAACATGTGCAGGTCGGCGAGGGGGGGAGGTGTGAAAGGGAAGAAAAGGGAAGCACGAAAGTTTGGGGTACCACTACTTGAAAAAATATACTGTACCATTGAAAATTAGTTTAATGTTTGGTTCGATTTAGAACATCTTTCCAATGGTTGCTTAATTTCAAACCATCTTCTCGGTTGAAATTGTGTCTGTGTTTGTAAATCCGAATTGCCTCGTGAACAAATCTCTGATAAAAACCCGTGGGTTTGCAAAGAACCTTGGTATCGGAGAAAATTATATCGTGATCACCCACAGCGTTGTAACAGTGATCAGCTACGGCAGAAGAATTCGTTCTGCCGTGTTTCAAATCTGATTTGTGCTCGCGAATTCGGTCAGAGACATGTCGCTTCGTCTCCCCGATATAGCAATCACCGCAGGTACAACTCAATTTGTAAACCCCGGGGTACTGTAAGTCAGGAATGACATCCTTCACGGATGGGATCAGATCACGAATTTTGTGTACTGTATTGAACCGGACCTGGATCGTGTTTGTTTAGAATTTTGGAAAACTTTTTAGTAACGCCTGCTATATATGGCAGTGTGATGGTTTTGACCGGAGTATCAAGTGGTTGTTTCTGTATGGAGGGAGAAACAGCTTGGCGGATGGTACGGTCAGAGTATCCATTCCTTTTGAGGGCCAGGTGTACATGTTTTAATTCACTGGTCAGGTGGTGTTGGTCTGAAATGCAATGAGCCCTATAGTATAAAGTTTTGATGAGAGAATTCTTTTGGACTGGGTGGTGATGGGAATCAGGTTTCAAGTAGGAACCTGTGTGGGTGGGTTTCCTGTAGACAGAATGCCCCAATGAGGCATCAGGTCTCCTCTCAAACAGAACATCTAAGAATGGTAGCTTGCCATCTTTCTCCACTTCCATGGTGAATTTGATGGCGGGATGTCTGGAATTGATGTGGTGTAGGAAAAGGTTCAGAGCTGGGAGGCCATGTGGCCAAATGATGAAAGTGTCATCCACATATCTCTTCCACAGGGAAGGTCTGAGGGTGGAAGTCTGGATGGCGTCCGATTCAAATTTCTCCATGAAAACATTGGCTATCACTGGTGACAAGGGGGAACCCGTGGGAGTACGCTCATTTTGCTTGTAGAAGGAACCATTCCAAGTAGGTGTTGATGAGGCAGTGCCTGACCAGCGTAGGTACCTCGGGGTTTAGTCCATGTTGTACCAAATTTTCAATTATTTCAATGGTATCAGGTACCCGGTCCTTGGTCAACAAGGAGACCACATCGAAGCTGACAAGGATATCGTCAGGGGACAGTGCAACGTCTTTGACCATTGAAACCAATTGGGCTGAGTTAAGTACTGCTGAGGAGGTCTTGCCAGTGAAAGGTAGCAAGGTATCCGACAGAAAACGTGCTAGCTTATAGGTAGGGGAGTTGATCGTGGATACGATGGGTCGTAGTGGAGTGCCTTCTTTATGAATCTTTGGAAGACCATAGAATCTAGGGGGCCTTGCAGCAGAAGGTTTTAGGGAGGGACGTTTTTTTTGTAGTTTTATTTTTTTGTTGTTTTATTTTTTACCTACGTGACTTTACCGAATAGAACCAAAGAGTATGGATCCTTGCAGTCACGAAAGCTTCAAATCTAGAATATTCCCACAGTAAAACAGGTTGACCAATAATTGTAGCGAGCGCTTACAAACTTGTGAATACAAAAGTACATAGACACTATATTTTATGATATTCACTACATTTGCACCGATCAACTCCCATGCAATTCGATGAATTGTCACAAAAGCTAATGATTCAAAAATAAATAATTTTATTTTTCTAGTGGCTGCAGTTAGTCAAATTAACCAATTATGTATAACGTATATGACTCGAAAATAATCAATTCTCACACTCAATTCAATACATTTATCTTAATAAGAACGGATTTCAAAAGATGAATCAATGCATCATTACACTATTTACTTTTCTCACGCTGACTACATATTTTATGCATCGCAGTTTCTGAATTTGATAATCAATTTAGTAAGCAACACATGCTTCTGCCTACCACAAAGAGCCATAAAGACCCAAATGCAACGCAATTGAAAGGCTATGTTGAATGCTGAATACTGACAACTCTAATGCACGTGAATAGTGACTACTGAACGCCTCGAAGAAAGGTTAAATACATCATGATTAGAAAAAATTGCAATACATTCTGACGCACAACATTCTATGCATTCATCACGAGCACTGATTAATAAAAAAAATGATAAATGCCAACAACGATTAAGGCATAGATTTGGACAAACAAGATGCCAGGCTGGCTGGATTCAAGACGGACCAGGTGAGAAAAGTTGCCCAACCTTTTGGTCCCACTTTGGCAAGCAGAGAGTGAGTGACCAGCATCAGCTCATCATTGGTGGGGCTATCCTTGGCAGCCCTCACCAGCGTCTGAAGTAGAATCTGAGAGCCACCCTTACACACCAGATTGCTCACACGACCTCCGCTGCCTGGACACACACAACAGCCCCCACCACACGCACAGGTGGACAAAACAATGCCGTTAAGCCATGTTATTTATAGTCTTCTTCATTTAAATGTCAGTAACAGCGAACAAGTCCTTGTGCATGTACAACCCTCTGGAAATCCACCGCTGGATGAGGTTGGGTCGTGGGGGTTACTTGACCATGCTTCCCCATGCTGGTCAACGCGGGTTGGCGAAAGTAGGGACCACAGCTGTGTATGCAGCAGCATATCAACATTGTAGTGCTCAATATAGCCCTCCACGGAGCTCCAACGTGGTAGCTTCCTGTTGTACATGGGGCCCATTCACACAAGTGCTATCCAGGCTCAAACTACGAATTCTACAATAGTTTGTGGTAAGGAACTTGCAAACGAGATTTAACTATACATTAGGTTGCTGTGATATTTCTGCGTGCTCAATTTTGAAGAACTTAAAGTAACTCATGTTTTTAAATATAAACTGTGAGCATGAGCTTGTGAGTTGCCTCGTAAATGCTGTGACTTAAAGATAATTGCACATTTAACAATTATGGAGTGCTCTGAGCCAAATTACTCAAAGGCAAAAAATCACAGAGGGTAACACCATTGCATGCATAAGCAGCCTTACACAATTTATGTGCATTGCATTACAAGCCAGATATGTTTTTGACAGCTTTGTCCCCATTATGTGTATGAAAGTCCAATAAATATGTAGCAATACCAGCTGAAAGCAACTCCAACAAGATATTCAAAATGTCCATTGTGACCTGGTGGTCCTTTGAATTCTGAAACAGAAAGATTTGTTTACAAAGTTAATAACCTAATAATAATGTACATTCTCAAACCAGTATCGTGATGGATGAAGACCTGCTCACACCTTTTGGTCATACGTTTATTTGACCATACTTCACCAAGCTGGGAGTGCGGGTCAAAGAAGGGGAGACCGAGGACCAGTTTGGATATTACTCGCCACTGATGTTTGCAAAGGCCAGTGATTGGAAGAGGGTTGTTGGGTTCATAGTATAGTGTGTTCACCACTGCCTCACCAGAATGAAGCAGTATTCAATTGGAATATACTTGACTAGATGAGTAATAGTTTCATAATTAAAACAAGCAATAAACAAAACTTAAAAATAAACCCAAATTTATTATCTACTTTATGTTCATTGAGCAGGGCTAGAAATATCAATTTCAAGTTCCACAGATAAACAAACACAAAAATACAGCCGTACACAGTATAAGTATACAGAATCGTATGTGTACATGTGCATCCATGCCCTCATTTGTAAAAAGAACAGAGCCTGCAGACATTCATTCAACATTTCACATGTCTGAATGACATTACACGAAATACTTTTGTGAGCAAAATACACCTGGGCACAATCCCAACACATTTTCTGAGAGCTCACACCTCCAAGGTTGTCAGCATTACATCCATTCCACTGGAGCCCTTGCCAGCCATTTCTTTTCGGGTTTTTTCTGCAGAGCAGAGAGGACCATAAGCACCAAATGATTAGCAGAAGCCTGCCAAAAGCGCAAAAGCAAATATGGCATTTATACAAATAGCCTAATTCATTGGATTGACAAAAACATGCTGCGTAATATTACATCAGCTGAAAAAAGTATTTTCTCAGGAATCATCTTATTATGGAAAAGGCTAATATACAGTGAGGGAAAAAAGTATTTGATCCCCTGCTGATTTTGTACGTTTGCCCACTGACAAGGAAATGATCAGTCTATAATTTTAATGGTAGGTTTATTTAAACACTGAGAGACAGAATAACAACAAAATCCAGAAAAAACGCATGTAAAAAATGTTATAAATTGATTGGCATTTTAATGAGGGAAATAAGTATTTGACCCCATCTCAATCAGAAAGATTTCTGGCTCCCAGGTGTCTTTTATACAGGTAACGAGCTAAGATTAGGAGCACTCTCTTAAAGGGAGTGTTCCTAATCTCAGCTTGTTACCTGTATAAAAGACACCTGTCCACAGAAGCAATCAATCAGATTCCAAACTCTCCACCATGGCCAAGACCAAAGAGCTCTCCAAGGATGTCAGGGACAAGATTGTAGACCTACACAAGGCTGGAATGGGGCTACAAGACCATTGCCAAGCAGCTTGGTGAGAAGTTGACAACAGTTGGTGCCATTATTCGCAAATGGAAGAAACACAAAAAAAACTGTCAATCTCCCTTGGCCTGGGGCTCCATGCAAGATCTCACCTCGTGGAGTTGCAATGATCATGAGAACGGTGAGGAATCAGCCCAGAACTACACGGGAGGATTTTGTCAATGATTTCAAGGCAGCTGGGACCATAGTCACCAATAAAACTGGTAACATACTACGCCGTGAAGGACTGAAATTCTGAAGCGCCCGCAAGGTCCCCCTGCTCAAGAAAGCACGTATACATGCCCGTCTGAAGTTTGCCAATGAACATCTGAATGATTCAGAGGACAACTGGGTGAAAGTGTTGTGGTCAGATGAGACCAAAATGGAGCTCTTTGGCATCAACTCAACTCGCCGTGTTTGGAGGAGGAGGAATGCTGCCTATGACCCCAAGAACACCATCCCCACCGTCAAACATGGAGGTGGAAACATTATGCTTTGGGGGTGTTTTTCTGCTAAGGGGACAGGCCAACTTCATCGCATCAAAGGGACGATGGACGGGGCCATGTACCGTCGAATCTTGGGTGAAAACCTCCTTCCCTCAGCCAGGGCATTGAAAATGGGTCGTGGATGGGTATTCCAGCATGACAATGACCCAAAACACACGGCCAAGGCAACAAAGGAGTGGCTCAAGAAGAAGCATATTAAGGTCCTGGAGTGGCCTAGCCAGTCTCCTGACCTTAATCCCATGTAAAATTCTGTGGAGGGAGCTGAAGGTTCGAGTTGCCAAACGTCAGCCTCGAAACCTTAATGACTTGGAGAAGATCTGCAAAGACGAGTGGGACAAAATCCCTCCTGAGATGTGTGCAAACCTGGTGGCCAACTACAAAAAACGTCTCACCTCTGTGATTGCCAACAAAGGGTTTGCCACCAAGTACTAAGTCATGTTTTGCAGAGGGGTCAAACACTTATTTCCCTCATTAAAATGCAAATCAATTTATAACATTTTTGACGTGTTTTTCTGGATTTTGTTGTTATTCTGTCTCTCACTGTTCAAATAAACCTACCATTAAAATTATAGACTGATAATTTCTTTGTCAGTGGGCAAACGTACAAAATCAGCAGGGGATCAAATACTTTTTAACCTCACTGTAGCTTATCAATAATAGCCATTTTCTTCCAAAAGTAAGTTTGGCACTGGAGTCTCACACTTGAGGAAGTCAAGTGTACCCTTCACAGCATTCAAATGGGCAACACTCCTGGACGACATGCAGTTAATGTGGACATCAACAACAAATAGGAACAATTGTTGGAGTTGTGTTAAAATTTTTTATGTAAAAATAGACTATTGATATAATGAATTGCCTCAATCATTATTCTATGCAATAAGGAACATAAAACTGATTTGAAGAACTATAGTCCATTCATCATCTCTATGCAAGTACAGTATACAAATTATTGATGAATATCAATAGGCACGGAAGAATTAAATATGTCAAGGACAACCAACCATGGGAGCAAGCAGGGTTTAGGAAAGGTTTCTCTACTTTGTAGTCAGCCAAGCTCTAACAAATCAAGGACTAAATAAAAAATAATTAGAAGTGATGTAAACAATAGCAAAAATAAACAGCCATAATGAAATGACAAGAACAAAGTACTCAAATTATACTGAAAGGGGAGTCAGACAAAGTGACGTGTTCACCAAAATTATTCAGTGATATTAGAAGATTATTTCTGAAAATGAGATTGGACAAAGGTAAACTTATTCATAGAAAAAACATTAGCCATCTCTTATTTTAATAAGGACAAAAAAATAATCTCGAACAATCAGATATATGCAGTATGTTATAAGGACAAACCTGGAAAACAGCAGATTGTGTACATTTATATATTTATGACAGCTATTTAAGACTGATTGAGATCAAAGTGATGAGAATGGAGCACTTTTGGGAAGATACATTTTGATAATGTAATGCAACACACCCATGTGTCTAAAGAGGACAGTTTTTAATCAATGCATGTTAACTGCGATGATACATGAATCAGAAACATGAACACTGATGTTCAAAATTGTGCACAAAAGTGTGGAGAGATGCATGCTTAGGTTCAGAGAGATAGAGAAGAACACATGGATTGGAGAACATACACAGGTTAAAGACATAACTTTAAGAAAAGTAAGCGGGCTTCGGTGGGACACTTTGCTCAGAAGGATGATGGCTGGTGGGCTATAATAACGAGCGTTGCAGGTCAAAGAAGGTAACATGTCTGAAGGGACATCTGCCACCTAGATCAATCAATGATGTCAGCTCCTTTGCAGGTGCTGGGTGGACTGTTACATAGCAGGACCATAACAGACGGTGAGAGCATGGGGACACATTCATCCAGCAGTGGACTGATTATGGATGGTGATGATGAAAAACATGTGAATCCACTACAAAATGTGCAAAAAGATATTAAACAACAACAATTTAATAACCCATCAAAACGCATCACACCCACCGGCTTGAAGTGGCCAGATGCAGGAAATCAAGCAACAGGCACCCTTTGCTTGTGCTGACTTCAAGGTTTCATATATGTTTGAGATTGTCCAGAGGAAGTTGCTATATATACCGAGATAGTTTTGACCAGGGGGTGTCTGCTCTTCCCTGTCTGACCCAGACAAGCCCACCACCCAGCACACAGCCTCATTTTCCATCTCACTCGCTACCACCAAGCAAGAGCGTAAGCCTTCTATTTCTGGACGAATGCTGGGGGCACTGCGACTTTTTATTCAGCGTATCGCATATTAATAACGCGAAGCTGGTGTGTGTAATCCAGCACTGTGGGAGGCAAGGGTTAGTGGATCGCACATATGTTGTGAAAACTCCCTTACCATGTGCATCGAAGAGGTGCCATACCCTGGCTTGGCATAACAATGTGGTAGAGTGAAAGTGGCCCTTTCCTCTCCCATTTGTATGGGATACGTGTGGGTTTTCTCCAGGTGTTCCGGTTTCCTCCCACATGTACATACTTATGGCCGAAAAGCCACTACAATATATAAAGTGCCAGTGCTCGAGAGGGAATTTGGCACTGGCTCATCGCCTGCTTGCTCGTCTGTGGTTCCCTGAGCGAAGCGTTCTCTCTCTTGAAGCGTGAGCGAATATTGCACTGCGCGTTACAAGTTGAAATTACTATTATTAAACCATGCTCCAAGTTAGTCCGTAAAAAAAGAAGTAGCTTTCAGTGGTTAGAAATGTACTGTGTTGTATCGTTCTAAAGTTAGATCGAAACGTAATCGGCGAGCGAGCTACTTCTTGTAATCGGACCGCCCACAGCACTTGCTGGTGACAAACGATGGCCAGGTCTTAAATCTGTCGAGGCCCATTGTGTAAAGAAAGACAACTGAAAGTCACGCATGTTAACAATGGTGCCAGGAACTCCAGTGCCACTAATGTCTGGGCACGCTCCACTTAGCAGTAAACACTACTTTAACACACACAGTGCAGCACGTGGTCATTGTTTATGTATTTAACATAAACATATAATTTTAATACTTGTGTCCCTTTGAACCGTCCAGCTGCTGTGATTAGTGGCTCAGCTATTTTGGGGCAATAAAATCTTGTTAAGAATAGATAATATATCTTCATGGTTTCCCTGCTAAAATAAATATTCCTCTTGTTTACTGTGGATGTTTATTTGCATCAGTGTTCCTAGGCACCAAGAGCTGAATAACAAGCATTTGAATCAGCTGCTTATTTCAGATTGCTCCAGTGGACATAATCCATTTACAAATATAGCATGCATTAAAATACCTACAGCACCGCAATGCATGGAATTTGAATGAATTGGATAACTACCATCGTAGGCAATGGTCAAAAATACACTCCTGCTCATTCTCAGTTTTCACTCAACAATGGCAAAGATAATATCACCCAGTCAACCTATTTAATACATCTATTCTTTTTCATTGAACCATAACCCAAAAAAAAAACAATTACTGCATCTCTTATCTTGGTAATATGTACCTAGAATCATGGGATTTCCAACACGAGTTTTAACTTTCATTAATGGGGAAAAAGAGGCAACATAGTTAGTCTGGTCCTCCACTAAAGCATCCGTTCCTGCAACATCACTCCCATACGTTTTAATATGACATCAAGACAGTACTGTTACTAGAACGCTACAACACGTGATTTGCTAAAATATGTTTTCATTTACAAACCTAGAAACTCCTATCAGAGATTCTGGGACACACTTCCTATGTGTATGCTAAAACTCCAGGCAGTCCCCGACTTACGATGGGGTCGTCGTAACGCATCTCCATCGTAAGTCGGGGGACTACCTGTACATGCAATTTCTAGTGATTTTTGTTGTCCTTTTGAAGCAGAATAATAAGGCAAAAAGTGAACCATACCTGCACAACATACTATACCGAGATAGCCATTGGAGACATGTTTGCAAATACAATGAAATATTTTTGTTTTAAATTACAGTAGGTGAAAAAAACACAACGGTTCCTCAGCTATCACTTTCTCATCAGCAGCCATGTTCAATCAACTCCTGTATGAAGGACGCTCCAAGCCGCCACCACCATCTCTGACAGTCCTTTAATGTAACTACCCATCTAGTACTTGCACAGGAGCTAATTTAATCACTTCATCGAGGGCGTGTTCTCTTTTTTGGCTGCCACTCAATCATTAGTCTCGACCACCTGGCATTGTTCCTCCAAAGCAACTACAATCCACTGCGTAGAGGCCCTCATCCAGCATCGGATTGACAAAAGGGATGTGCATGTAGGGATAACGATGAGATAAATATATTAAACGTTTAAATTTGTTTATATTTGAATGCCTTTTTTATTAAAAGCAATATTATCACCACCTATCACGTGAGAAGTAATGGTAGCTTTGAGAAGCCTTCATCCAGCAGCCTTGGATTGCTGTCACAACATGAGTGCTCTGTGATGTGGCTCAATAGTGTTCTGCTTACATTGCCGTCTTTAAAATTCTGCCGTTCGTGTTCTGTGCAAGATCTCTATTACATCTCCATCTCAAAGCAAGATGAACAAATTAAAACTCGCATGTCGCTGCAACTTTATCTCAATGCCTCCACCAAGTATACATTTATAGCCTCTAACGCTTGTTCTACAATCCATCAGCCATAAGCACATGTGCTTTTTATTTTATAGTCACCCATCATTTGATGATTTCCTATTATTGTTGTAGGTGCCAAAGTCAAGAAACATAAAATTATCAAAATTTAAATACTCTACTCCATTCCATAATAACTGTGATACAGTGGCAGAATTTTTTTCCATAATAGAGGTTTTTGGGTAAGCTCGCGTAAATATATAAATGTGTCGTTAAAACCCGCCAACACCCGACACAGCCAACTATTAAGGGCATTATTTTCTATAAAAACCGAATGCTCTGATCATTGTGGAAGTGCTACCGGGCAGACAGAAGCATGGAATGAGCTTTGTATTATTTTGTTTTAAATTCTCGCTGTCAGCTTTCAGCGTTGATCCCTGCCAGACACGCAATGGACAGCGGCCTCCGTGCTGACACCGTGGGTCCATCAATCTACCTCCACTCCTGTCTCGGGAGGGCAGCTTTCCACCAGGCAGCCGAATGAATTTCCGCTCCTGTCATTGCAGTATTAATTTAAACACATCATGCTTAATAAATAAATGAAAAGACATATGATGCTCCAGGGACAAACTGTGGTATTTTTTCTAAGTAACATGTTAATGTATTATTTGTGGCTTTCTCAGATCACATGCTTGCCTTTCCTGACCATTAGACTGATCTGTCCTCTTGTTCCTATAACCTCTTGTCCACAACACATGCCATAGTTTAAAACATCCCTCATTGTCACGCTGTATTACCGCATTGCATGCTGGGTTGTACATTTCAAAGGAGTAATAACGTGTCACAAGCTGCCAAAGCAATTACAAGTAAAAACATTGATTTGTTTTTTTATAAGGCATGTATGTCTGTACCTCTAAATACGGCACTGGCAGAATTACCAAACTCCAAAATGCATTTTTGTTGTTTAACCAGGAAATCCGGACTATGTTGCAGGCCTTTTTCAAGAGAATACTGCCAAATGCTTGCAGTAGGAGGCGATGTTGCTATGTGTAATCCCAACGGAGTCATCTGAAGGTTAAGTTTTTATCCTTGAAATGTTAGGCCAATACCAGTTACACTGTATATAGTTTTGTTATTGGAGGAAACAGGGGAACTAAGAGGAAACCCACAAGCAAACAGGGGGAGAATATAAAACTCCTAACAGAAAGGCACTTGAGTCAGATGTAAATAGCAGACTTTTCTTTTTGTGAGGCACAAATGTTACCACTGCGCCACCATGCCACCCTAAATGCATAATGTGTTTTCAAATGCGAGGGAAAAAGGTTGCTCAATGTGGTTTACAAGCGGGTTTTTAAAATCTTGAACGCGCCTTACAAAATAATCTTTGTGAAACATGTATGGTCAATGTTACAAAAATTCCAATTACAAATCCAAAGCACATGACATGACAGCAAGTGTATGACGTGGGTTGCTAATTGTAAGCAGTATGTGATGGCATTACATTTTAGATACATCACAACCAGGGACAGGATATTTTTGATTGTGAAGTTGTGTCTTTTAAGTGGATTAACTAGTTTCAATTGACCTGTCCAGTTTAAGCTCCATTGTGAAAATCTCTATAAATTGGACAAAAAGACAGGGACACGGTGGTACCTCACTGTCAAGTTAGCAAGTCCATGAGTGGACAGTGAGCAGAACAGCAATGAAAATAGATAACAAGCAATGGTTCAACCACAAGTCACGGTTCCACATAGCTAGGAAGTGTATTTTTTTTTTAAAACAACAATTGAGAGCCATGCATATTCCAGACACTGTGATGCAAAGTGCCAGCATAGAACTACCCCTGATTCTCCTGTTATTAATGTTGTTTTGTGTGCAATTTGCATTCCAAAGGTGGCAAATGGAAAGGTATCTAAGACCGCATTAGAAACACTACACTATATCTCAAGAGTGCAAATGAGAATGAGACACCAGAGTGATGCATAAGTTAGATAGCTGTGCAAACCCATGGGAACTGATGTCTATTCTAAGAACTTTGCTTTGGTTTCATGCTTTTAATATCAACTGCCTTATGCCCATGATTGTCTGCATATCACTAGATAGCAGTGGGGATCTGGAATAATGAAAATATGATCTCCATTGGAAATATATTAAACTAGAACTGTGCTGTTGACAATATTACTTGTGTTAAAATAATGGTTTATCAGTGCACCCAAAACAAAAGTATCCACTAAATCACAGTATTGTAAAGTGGTTTTCAGCTTTTATAAGCAAGGCCTAAAAGAGAAAGTGATCTGACATGTTTTTAATGTCAAGAATTTAAAATTTCTCAAGTTTTTGCCACCAATTTTTTTTAGACATCTCTTATCCGCTCACTGTACTGCAGTAAGCTGTTTAACGTTTCTGTTAAAAAGTGTAACTGGACACGTTTCATTTAACAAGATGAATGCGACGACGTTCAAATGGGCTATTTTAAAGATTACACACGAGCAGTACAACACTTATGTATATAATGTATAAATACAAAGGACTGGCCTTGCAATTTCTAAGTTAACCAGAGGCACTGCAACTCTACACTCCGGCATCACTCAGGCATGCTAAGGAATCGTTCCCCTGGTTTGGATCAGACATTGTTGTGTTCGTAAAGGGGTCGGGAACCAAAATAAAAAGAGCCTTTTGGAATTCGGTAAAAAAAGCTCAATCTTTCACGAGCCACGGTGACATGTGAATAACATCATGAAGAAGTCCTGAAAGAGCCACATGTGGCTCAGAGCCGCAGGTTACTGAACCCTGTGCTAAATACAAGAGCTCAAACTTGTTATAACTTTGGACCCATAACTATTTGCGTGCTTCCATTATACATGAGACCAATAACCCAGTGCACACACACATAGGCTCACCACCCATAGCTAGATACCTACCTATGCAACAAACCACAAACAGAAGTGTATAAAGGGCAATATATCTCAATTGTTTACATGTACTGGTAATACCATAAAACAAACGTTTTCTTTTATATTTGCTCCCAGCCTGTTGCACTTTTACAAGACAGAGAATGAGTGAGTCGTGAGCGTTTGGTGTCTCCTGCGTGATAAAGGTGGGCACGGAGTAGCCGGTGGCTGTCAGGTATCAAGTGAATGGTTACTGTCCTGTAACAGGTGAGTGGTGTCAGGTGAGTATCTGATAATGGTATCAGGTGAGTGTGACCAATGGGGGAAGGGTGAGGTCAGCCGGGTGGGGGCCAACAGGGGAGCGAACAGGGCTGATGGGGAAGGTTCACCCTGCCCATAGGACATGCTGTTCATTATTATAATTCAAGCAAGGGCAAGCAGTCATAATGCAATCATGTGCGCCTTATATCAATACAAAGCTAAATATAGAATACTGCACAAATATAACCACAAAAAGACTATTTCACAACTTTCCCTACAGAAACATTTTAACTAATTAACACGTTTGTGAATTTTAGATTTAAAGCTTTTGTGACTGCTAGGATTCATACTCTTTGGTTCTATTGGGTAAAGTCACGTAGGTAAAAAATAAAATAACAAAAATCACGACGTTTTGGCCACAACACAAGCGGCCTTCATCAGGTGAAGGGACGAGACTGTCTGGAGGACAGCGCTGGAGTGAAAAAAGCCACGCTCAGATCACGACACAGCTTAAAGGTCGTGATCTGAGCGTGGCTTTTTTCACTCCAGCACTGTCCTCCAGACAGTCTCGTCCCTTCACCTGATGAAGGCCGCTTGTGTTGTGGCCGAAACGTCGTGATTTTTGTTATTTTATTTTTTACCTACGTGACTTTACCCAATAGAACCAAAGAGTACATTTGTGAATGTGCAATACCACAACTAGTATAAAAAGTAAAAGTACTACAACACCTGTCCTACAATCCCCCTATTAGATCCTATATAACTAAGTATAGAATGCTATCCTGTCATGTAAAATTTATGAGGACTGTGAATTATAATCGTAAAACATGGCTTGTAATTTCATAGGGATGGAAAGGAACAGTTGAATTCAACAGAACCACAACATTAATATTTTAGTAACTTGTCTTCAATGTATTTCTGGTAAACAAAAATATTATATCAAAATATGGTACTGTTGGTGCATGTTAAATGGCTATACCAAAACGATGAAAATGTTCGCAACATAAATTATACGTAAGCACATCCTTTGACCTAAAATCTTACACCGATTCATTTCACAAGCCATTCTGGAAATATTTAAAATATGTCCACTCATCCCTGTGGCAGTGAAGAATCTGAAAGGAGAAATTGTAAACGCACCAGCCAAATGTTTTTGTCCTTATCACACCAATTCTATGTTACAATGTTCAATATGAAAGGTTTGCATCTCTTGGTTAAAATGCAAGGTCAAAACTGTCAGTGTTTCCTGCATGAAACTGTTCAATTCCAATACAATTGCACCTGATTTGACCAGTACTTAAGTTCGCATCGGTGAAATTTTTAGGGATCGCCATAACAACCAAGTGTGGCACATTTTAAAAGTGAGTGGAAAATCAGACAATGGTATTCACAGTTCCACTTGATTTTACTTGTGCATTGTAATTTGAACCATCGCCATTAGTTTCAATGTGGGGTATGAAAGGTTCTTGGTTGTGACTAAACAGGTCATTGAGTGGCTACGATGGGCACCTTGTCAAGTCCATGCTGACAGAATCCACAAGACATCTCACTATCTCCAGGTGATTTGTTTGTCAGTTTCCATGTAGTTTCTTTGTTTACCAAAGTTCCTGTGCCTGACACCATTGCAATCATTGAAGATTTGGTCCAACAAGGACTGAATGCTGATGTACCGGCCCTGGTGAGACACTGCCTTACTAACATTTACTTCACCTGGAATGGTACATTCTATAAACAAGTTGAAGGTACCCCAATGGGCTCTCCCTTAGCTCCAGTGGTAGCCAATGTTTTCATGGAATATGTTTAGACAGATGCCATCCAGGCATCCATCCTGCGTCCTTCCTTGTGGAAGAGATACGTAGATGACACGTTCGTCATCTGGCCACATGGCCTGCCAGCATTGAACCAATTCTTCAACCACATCAATTCCATACACCCAGCCATCAAATTCACCATGGAGGTGGCAAAAGAATGCAAGTTACAATTCTTGGATGTTTTAATCGAAAAGAGACCAGATGGCTCATTGGGACACTGTCTACAGGAAAGCCACCCACACGGATGCCTTTCTAAAACCTGACTCCTACTACCATTCAGCCCAGAAGAATTCCCTCATCAAAATCTACACCATACAAGATCCAGGTTCGATTCAACACAGTACATAAAATTCGTGATCTGATCCCATCTGTGAAGGAAAGTGATCCCTGACATGCAATACCCCAGTGTCTACAAACTAAGTTGTGTCTGTGGCAATAGTTACATTGGGGAAACTAAGCGACATGTCTCAGACCGTGTTCGTGAACACAAGGCAGATCTGAATGGGAGGACCAATACCTCGGCCGTGGCTGATCATTGTTTTAACGCTGTGGGCACACACGAAATTGATTTTTCCAAGACGAAGGTACTCTGCAAACCTACTGGCTATCAACAAAGATTCGTTCATGAAGCCATCCAGATATATAAACACAGAAACAATTTGAACCGAGACGATGGGTACAAACTGAGAAATCATTGGAAGGACGTTATTAACCAGTTTAAGTGATAACTGGCTCTGATGTTTCCATCCTACCTGCCGATGTTAGCAGTTATTTCCGACTCTCTGAGTTACATTGCCAGGTTGGAGGTCTTTGCATTGACAGGCTGTATGTCTTACTTGAACAGTCACCAATGCTCCTTTCCCTCAATGTGGCGATGGCTCTCACAGCCTCAGGACGCCCTCCGTTCTCACAATACATTGACATGCTAATCTCTCTCAATACAATGGCCAACCCCACAGCCAAAGAGCGCCCTCCGATCTTACATTAACATGCTAATACCATCTCTAACCCCGCCGACTTACCCTTGGGCTGCACCCATCTCAGGCCTATATAATGTCCTGTTTCAGCAGCTCTCTCGCTGTATTTTTTCACCTGAAGACGATTGCTTGTGTTGCGATCGAAACGTCAAGATTTTTTTATTATTTTTCGATCTACGCGACTTTACCGAAAGACCCAAAGAGTATGAATCCACAGGCTTACATCAGCATGATGCAAGTGAGCAATAGTTTGGTGGAAGCGTAAAAAAACACATTTCACCTTCCACTTATTCCTCAATTCCTACTGCTGATTAGAATGCTTACAATTGAATAGCACTGTAATAATGTACAGTTCTTTGCGATTTCACTGCTGGAGGAAGGCCTCCCTAAACTTGTCCGTCATGGGGGGTTGTTTGACCATACTTCCCTGCCATCAGTACAGTCGGTGAATTAGTGGAGGCCCCAGAATCAATTCAAGTACCACTAAACCTGAATGAGTGAAATGATGACGTCACCCTGCTGCTCTATTTAAGACCGGGAGCAAGTGAGGGTTTTACCATGCTGGTGAATTGCCCAATGATGCTGGATGTAATTACCAGCGAAACGTCGTACTCAAACTGTAAATGTTGTGGATTCACTCTTCAACACACCGGTGGGCTAAAGTAGTGAACTATTTGTCTTTTGTCAACGTGACACTTTTTGCTGATTGGCCGTGTCGGGTGGTGAAGGGTTACGACACATTTATAAATAACGCGATCTAACCCAAAAACCTTTATTACAAATAATATTGGTCGTGAAAGCCTACGTGTTAAAGCCTACATGTTAAACTGATGTATTAATTGTACAGCTTCTCAGTAATATATTTTTTTACTGTGTCTGTACATTTGCTTTATGCAGTCTATTACTAGTAGATAGGCATGCAACTATGCACTAACCACTCACAGGTATGCTGAGTGCATGGCACCAAGGAATTGATGCTCAGTCTTCACTGCTATATATAACGGTGCCCTGATCACATGACCCCAATTCATCACAGTATATCGCATTGACAAGAGAATGCTGTTATGTATGTTTTATAATTAGCACCAAAAGGAACACATAAACTTGTTTCAGTATAACATGGTTTAAATGTAATTGTTTGCATGATGGTTGACTTTTGCTTTCGAGAAAAAATCCATTACAAAAATATTTTTCAATAAGTACAGTGAGGGAAAAAAGTGTTTGATTCCCTGCTGATTTGGTATGTTTGCCCACTGACAAAGAAATGATCAAGTCTATAATTTTAATGGTAGGTTTATTTGAAAATGTGAGAGAAGAATAACAACAACAAAATCCAGAAAAACGCATGTCAAAAATGTTATAAATTGATTTGAATTTTAATGAGTGAAATAGGTATTTGACCCCCTCTCAATCAGAAAGATTTCTGGCTCCCAGGTGTCTTTTATACAGGTAACGAGCTGAGATTAGGAGCACACTCTTAAAGGGAGTGCTCCTAATCTCGGCTTGTTACCTGTATAAAAGACACCTGTCCACAGAAGAAATCAATCAATCAGATTACAAACTCTCCAACCATGGCCAAGACAAAAGAGCTCTCCAAGGATGTCAGGGACAAGATTGTAGACTTACACAAGGCTGGAATGGGCTACAAGACCATTGCCAAGCAGCTTGGTGAGAAGGTGACAACAGTTGGTGCGAATATTCGCAAATGGAAGAAACACAAAAGAACTGTCAATCTCCCTCGGCCTGGGGCTCCATGCAAGATCTCACCTCGTGGAGTTGCAATGATCATGAGAACGGTGAGGAATCAGTCCAGAACTACACGGGAGGATCTTGTCAATGATCTCAAGGCAGCTGGGACCATAGTCACCAATAAAACAATTGGTAACACACTACGCCGTGAAGGACTGAAATCCTGCAGCGCCCGCAAGGTCCCCCTGCTCAAGAAAGCACATATACATGCCCGTCTGAAGTTTGCTAATGAACATCTGAATGATTCAGAGGACAACTGGGTGAAAGTGTTGTGGTCAGATGAGACCAAAATGGAGCTCTTTGCCATCAACTCAACTCGCCATGTTTGGAGGAGGAGGAATGCTGCCTATGACCCCAAGAACACCATCCCCACCGTCAAACATGGAGGTGGAAACATGCTTTGGGGGTGTTTTTCTGCTAAGGGGACGGGACAACTTCACCGCATCAAAGGGACGATGGACGGGGCCATGTACCATCAAATCTTGGGTGAGAACCTCCTTCCCTCAGCCAGGGCATTGAAAATGGGTCGTGGATGGGTATTCCAGCATGACAATGACCCAAAACACACGACCAAGGCAACAAAGGAGTGGCTCAAGAAGAAGCACATTAAGGTCCTGGAGTGGCCTACCCAGTCTGCAGACCTTAATCCAATAGAAAATCTGTGGAGGGAGCTGAAGGTTCGAGTTGCCAAACGTCAGGCTCGAAACCTTAATGACTTGGAGAAGATCTGCAAAGAGGAGTGGGACAAAATCCCTCCTGAGATGTGTGCAAACCTGGTGGCCAACTACAAGAAACGTCTGACCTCTGTGATTGCCA